CCAGGAGGTCTCCCATGTGGGTGGCAGTGACCCAAACCCGCAGACCATCTTCTGCTTTTCCTAGGCCATTAGCTGGGAGCTGAATTGGAAGCTGAGTAGCTGGGACACAAAGCTGCACACATTTAGAATGCCAGTGTTGCAGGTGGTGGCTTTACCACAACACAGATCCCAGAAATACTGACCCTTAGAGCTCGAAGAGAATTCAAGAATTACAATATAAGCTGACCTCCAATTTACAGATGACAACCTGAAGGTCCAAAGTTGCACAAGTGGTATGTGGTTGACTGAGACTGTCTCTTCCACTCACACTTTTCATCACTTACTTTGCATTTTTCTGGCTTCTATGATCTTAAAAATTTATTTTCATGGTTCTCTTGATATTTAGCTGTAGTTGCCTTGTTTGGCCACTTGGCTAACAGTAGCAAAATCTAGACTTGAACCTGGGTGTTGCAACACTGTTTCCCGAGTGCTATTTCCCTGTGTTCTGCTCAGGTTATGAGGCAGAATGTGAAAGTTATCTTTCTGAGATTTGGTTTCATTTATATATTGGAGATGCTGAGCTGAGCTGAAGAATCCAGACATCATCTTACACCTAGGAGGTAGTGATTTTTTGAACTCTCTGAGCGGGCTATGCTACTAAATGACTTTGAAAAAACTCATTGAAGTGCTTTGCCGTTTTTTGAACCTCTGCGGATAAAACCTGTGGAAGTGGAGTGTGTGTTTCCTTCTCCCATCATTTAATTGTTTACTGCTGCAGTTTTCATCATAAAGTGCATGGCAGTTCAGGATATATACTTAGAGAAACAAAAATATCTGATGTACCAAGTAATAAAGAATGCACATTTTGCTTGCACTTAAATTAATAGCTTCACTTCCTGCCTGTTCCCATTCATTACAATTTTGATACTTGTTGCTTATTCCAACTTTTTGACACCTGTGAGTGGCATAAGTGAGTGACGTGATTTCCTGGAAGCTGTGGAAATGAGGTGGTTTGGGCTCTACATGCTTGGTGATTTTGTGTGCCTCTTTCTGAGAGTTTATTGTTTTCTCTCTATAACCATTATTAAGTGGAGTTGGTATAAAGTTGAATAATGTATACTGCAACAGAATACAACACTGTCTTAAGTTTTAGGCTGATAAAATTGTATGAAAAGAAATAATAGATTATTAGGTTTAGAAAGGGCTATATGATTGGGAAGAAGTAGGGAGGGGTACTTTTGAAATTTTACTGGTGGGAAATCACCTAGCTTGCCCAGAGTAACATGGTTACTTGGTTAAAAAGCTGAGTTAGAAATCCAGGTCTTACTGATTATATTTCCCATGGTCCTTCTGCCAAAGGTATTCTGATCCATCCATTCTGGCTTTATTAGCAAGGTCTCATGTTGATGATAATGGCAGTCATCCTTTTTAAAAGGTACTTTGGTATTGCCATGTATTCACCAATCATGTGACAAGGGAAGAGCCATTGGCTGTATTTACTTCATGACAGCATTTATGAGCTTAGGGGTGTTGTTAATGATCATAAATGTATATATATTCCTGACCCCAGGGCACTACTGGTTTTCTGGATCCTGGATCTTTCATAATGTCATGTTGGAGAAGACACAGGATTATGAATGGGGAAGAGTGGGAGAAGATAAATCCCGTTTGCCTTAGTGCCCCATAAGTGGCCCATTCAGAGACCTCAAGAGAGAAGACAAAGTGCTGTACTCAAACTAACAGGGTGAAGTGCCTGTTGTTTTGCCATTCTGTGGTTGCTTCCCCTAGGGAGATCTAGCTATGTATAAGCAAAGATTGTCTTGGGATTCCAGATGATGATCACTGCGTGCCAGCTGTGAGCCCACACGCTCAGGTGTATATTGTTGAACAGAACTCAGTGCTGTCTTTCTGGAGTGTTTGGTTTAGCGGTGGCAACTGCACAAATGGTAAACCACTGAGCAAATCAGTCAAGGGCACTTCAAAAAATGTATGGAAAGGTGGAATTCAGAGATAAGCTTACTTTGGTGTGAACATATTGTGAAATACCTGCATGCTTTTTCTATACAAGCATTCTCCATAGACTTTGTATATCCTCACCAATGAAGAAAAATGGTGAGGAGGGCTGTGATAGGGAATGATAGGGCTGGTGCTTGTTTCAGTGGGCTGTGCAGATGTGATGAGGAGTGATATTTAAACTAGAAACTGACAGGGGCTAGTCTGTAAGGAGTCTGGGCAGTAGACCAACTATTCTAGGCTAAAAGAACAAGTGCAAAGGCCCTGAAGCAGAAAAATCAAGGTTTGGGAGCTGAAGGAGTAAGATGAGATTGAGGGTGGAAAGGCAGATAGGGGACCAGGTCCTTAGTAGTCAGTGTATTTGTCTCATGGTAAATTATTCATTATATTATTTGCCTCTTAGGATCTGCATGCCAGGGCCCAGCGCAGTAGCCTGGCAGCTAAAGTCCTCCCCTTGCATGCACCAGGATCCCACATGGGTGCCAGTTCATATCCCGGGAGCCCCGCTTCCCATCCAACTCCCTGCTTGTGACCTGAGAAAGCAGTGAAGAACTGCCCAGAGCTTTGGGATCTTGTACCCATGTGGAAGACCCAGAAGAGCCTCCGGGCTCCTGGCTTTGGGTAGGCTCAGCTCTGACCATTGTGGCTGCTTGGGGAGTGAATCATCAGATGGAAGCTCTTCCTCTTTGTCTCTCCTCCTCTCTGTATATCTGCCTTTCCAATAAAAAAAAAAATCTTAAAAAAAAGATCTGCATGTCATTCTCAGTTTCAGTTTGATTGCCCCAGCCGGAGTAGTCCAGGGGCTGTGAGAGCCCAGGGCAGCTGCTTCACGAGGTTCTGGTATTGCTAGGCTTTAGTATTGGGCATCCTGAGCGTTCTCATACTCAGGGGACATCACATCTTTGATTCAGCCCAGCTAGCATAGCAGTTGGTCCTTTGTCTCCTCACAGGCCACTAAGCCACTTTGGGGAGGTCCCCTGACCATGGGTCACCCATTCCCACTATTGCCAGGTGGCATCCACTGTCATGCACTATGAGAGGACTCAGCTCCCAGCTGACCTGGTATGGTTCTGAGCTGGCTTACAGCTTTTGATGCTGTTGAGCTTTCTGCTGATTCTTGTTGTCTGCTATTTCAACATATCCCCCCCCTGCCCCAGTGTTCCAGCTGAAGTAGGAGCCGACTGCACCAGTTCCTGATGGGGTGTTGACTTTGGGTTCCCTTGTTACAGATCCTCCAGTGCCAAAGCCCCTGCTTGTAATACAAAGCCCCTGCTTGTATTACGGCCTCTTTAAAATGCTTGAATGCCAGTTGGGAGATAGGAGACTCGGCATAGGAAGTGCCACGCGTAGACCTTGCATGGTGCTTGGATCCTCCCCTCCCTTAGCCACCATCCTCCTCCCGTTCAGCTTGTGTCCTCCAACGTGCTTCTACTTAGGCTACATTTCTTCGTGGAAGGGACATTAGTTTTTTTAGCCCTGTGGTCAAACCTGGGGTCCTACAATTTCAACTTGCAGGCTAGGATTCTGGCCCTGATCCACAATCTTGGGGGAAAAAAACATCTTTTTTGATTTTATAGCTTTGGATTTTAAGATGGGAGTATGCAGGTTATGTAGTGCCCTGTAATCAAGTGGTATTTTTGTGGCGTAACATAGTACTAATCAATCATATAGGGTGACAGAAACAAATACTATCAATGATTTTATGTCAGTTCTTTCTTTTTGTTGTTTCTAAGTGAGTTTGTCACAAACAGAAAAACATTTCAACAACATTGTATTTATACAGGGCTGAGCCCAAAACATTCAGATACTAATTTGAACTGAAATATTATTGTTGCTACTTTCCTGCTAATGAATCTCTTGGAGTTAACGTGGTTTCTGTCCTTGCGTGTCCGTGGAGGTTCCCATGAAGTTGGTGGCATGGAGCAGGGTTTATGGGTTTCCCCGATTTGGAGTGGACAGGTGGGCATGCCACAGGAAGACAACAGGAGGCCACAGCAGCTGCTGTGCAGAGAGGATCAGAGAAGTGGCTGCAGCTTGGCCAGCAGCTGCCTTGTGGATGCCTGGTGCACGACCTCTGCTCACTGAGCTGACTCACCTGCAGCCCTGGAAAGCCCAGCCACCACAGATGCTGGCTGCGGAGCAGCTGCCCTGCACAATGAGAGGGTTCTTTCCTTACTGCAGCTTTAATTTCCTTCTCCCCTAATATTGAGTGTTATAGTGAGAGTGAAGTCACCTGTTTTATCTGTAAGTCTAGGCTTTATATAGGTGCACATATACCAGAGTTTTGGAAAAATGGAAATACATTGGTGCAAAAAATTATTTGAAACCTATGCCCAATTCTTTTGTAATTTCAAAAAATTTCAGAAAAAATTTCCATGAACTTTTTAAAAAAGATTTATTCATTTTTATTGCAAAATTAGATATATATAGAGAGAGGAGGAGAGACAGACAGGAAGATGTTCCATCTACTGGTTCACTCCCCAAGTGACCACAATGGCTGGTACTGCACCGATCTGAAGCCAGGAGCCAGGAGCTCTTCAGGGTCTCCTATATGGGTGCAGGGTCCCAAGGCTTTGGACTGTCCTCCACTGCTTTCCCAGGCCACAAGCAGGGAGTTGGATGGGAAGCGGGGCTGCTGGGATATGAACCAGCACCCATGTGGGATCCTGGTGCAGTCAAGGTGAGGATTTTAAGCCACTAGGCTCCCGCACCGGGCCCCCATGAACTTTTTGACGAGCCTCTCCCCCATACACTTTTGCAATAAGAGTATAAAAAGTACAAGCAAAGAATAAGGTTTGTGCTGGGCTAGGAAGCATTTTTCTCTTGAAGTCTTTCACTCTGGCTGCCCTGCACCACAGAGTAGGTTTTTCAGTGTTCCTCCACAGGCTTGTTGTGTGGAGTACTCCAAGTGGAAGGTGAAAGCGGGCTTCTTGCATCGTGCTTGACATTCTTTGAACAGTAGTTAGAAAACTTGAATTTTACCCTCTTCACCATTGTTTACCTTCCAGAAAATGAAGAAGTCAAGGAGACGACTTTACGAGAGCTTAAAATGCTTCGGACTCTCAAGCAGGAGAACATTGTGGAGCTGAAGGAAGCCTTTCGTCGCAGGGGGAAGTTGTACTTGGTGTTTGAATATGTTGAAAAAGTAAGTCATTCATGGCCAATATGGAGTTTTGTCTGCCATTTCTGACACTATTGAAAAGTATTTTTTATCTGTATCACTTGCCCAGTGTGTTTATAATCTGAGGATGTTAATGAAATTATTGTTCATGATCATGAGAAAACACAATGCATTTCAGGATTTTGTGCAATTCTGATTGTACAGAGAGACCATCTTGAAATTTTAAGCAGTATGCAGATTTACCCTGCAAAGTATTAGACTCTGTGCACCAGGTAATTTTTTTACTTGCTTTCCTGTGATTAAACCTACATAAGGTTTCTGAAATAGAAGCAGGTACTTTAACAGCATGATCAGAGACCATACCAACACAAACCGGTGGCGGTGGGGGGCTCGGTGAGCTCCTGAAGCAGCCTTCGGTGAACTGCAAGCACTCATTTTTTGTGAGGAGGTGAGATGTGCAGGACCATAAGTTGAGGCTTGGGGTGGTAGAAGGAGCGTCTACAAGGAAGGAATGGGAAGCATGGGAGAAAGCGAGGAAAATGTTGTTCCAGCTGTCTGCATTTTTAAAGCACCAAGACTTTAAAACACAGTGGTTTCAATTTATAAGCGACAGTTTTCATGCTGTAACCTTAGGGCAAATGGATGTGTGTGGCAGTAATCAATAGCTGTGTGCCTATGACTTTCTGGGAGAGCAGCTGGTTGTAATCTAGAAGGTGAACAAAAAAGCACCTTAGAAATAGAAGAAAGTGCAGCCAGACTGAGCCTGTTAGAAGTTTCCTTGATAAGTAAATAGGTGGTTTGTGTGGATTTTCTGTACTATTATCTAACAAAGACTGGAACTGGACAGGGTTTGTGTTTGCTTTAGGTTCCCTGGAGTTTGCTGGGCTATAAATGACACAGTACTGCTGCCATTGCTGTCACCTATTGGAAAGCAATGTTGCCAAAACGACTGAGCAGTCGCTTTGGCTTCAACTCCAATCTGCCTTCGAGATTATTTTTCACAGGTTTTTAAAAATATATAATAATTTCATTGCTAGCACAACTTGAAAAACTTACCAAGCTTACTATTCTAAACCATTGCTTTTGTGGTTCTTTCCAGAACTTGTTTTACATTTAAAAAAGAGAGAGAGAGAGATTTACTTATTTACTTATTTGTTTGAAGCGTTTTGTGATCCCAGGGCAGGGGGTAGGAGGTGGTGGGTGGTGGGATTTTTCTATCCTTTAGCTCTTTTTTTTCTGTGTCAATTTAGGTGTTCCTCTGAAATACCTTCCTCACCAAATACAACAACAAAATTATATATATACATATATATAAAGTTACAGGAAAAGGATTTTAGTACTAAGATTCTGGGGGAGAATCAAATACTCTTTATTTCTTAGTTGTTACAGATAATCATGCAGTTTGTAATTTTCACTGCCAAATAAAATTTGATAGATCTATTTCCGTTTATTTTTATTTTTGTTCTGTTCATGGTGATTGCTCATGGTGAATAACAATCTAGCATATGAAGCAGAAGAAGCATCTCTGTATCTGCTTCCTCACTGGGAGAAACAGGAGTTCTGCTGCTCAGTGGCTACCCATAGCACCAGTCCTCTGACACACACTCCCCCATTCTCAACCTGCGAATCTGTCCTTGTGCCTGTAGGGCTTAGGTAAGAAGTAACCATCACACCTGTCCATCAATGGCAGGGCCATATGAATGGCAGTGAGTCAGAGAAAGGCAAAGAAGGTGCTTCAAGCAGTTGGCAACAGAGGCCCAGGGTCACAGTGGATTAGTCAAATAGAGGTTTCTTACAAAGTAGTTCTATAGGATCGGTCTAGCAGCTTGGCTGTCACAGGAGGACCAGGCCGCTTCTGCCTGTCCTTCACCATCCTTGAGATCTTTGGCTCTTGTCCTTAAAGTCAGTACTGTATGCAAGGCACAGGGTAAATACTCATTTAATGTTGGACAACTAGGTCACACTAGATTCCTCTAGACTAAGGAAAGAATAGCCAGTAGGAAGCTGTAGCTCTACCGCTAAGGAATTTACAGGTAGCATATGAGAGAACAAACACCACATTTTCTATTTTTCCTATATAATCCTATATTACAAAGCCCTTGAATTCCTAGTACACAATTGTGATAACCTGTGTTAACTGAAAACTGCAGTTCAAATGAAGAATCATAGAAAGGGTGTATACATATATTGCTATGTGAAAGCCATATACAGTTGGCTGTCCATATCCCTGGGTCAAACAAATGTAAATCATGCAGTATATATTTGTCTACAATGGTTGTATCCATTTTTTGTTTTGCTTTGTTTTTTGTACAACAGTGATTGGGTCTGTTCTAAACACGTGCAAACTTTTTTTCTATTTATTCTCTAAAAAATATAATACAAACAACTCTTTAGTTAACATTTACACTGTATTAAGTATTGTATGTGAACCAGAGGTGGTTTGAAGTACAGGAGAGAGGATAATGCTAGGTTACATATGAATGCCATTCCATTTTGCATAATGGACTTACACAACTGCGGGTTCTGATATCCATAGAATGGAGGTTCTGGCACCAGTCCCTGCGGGTCTCATGGAAGGACTGCATCTTCATTACTGCTCTTCAGAAGTCAGGGCATGGTCTTTTGCATGTTGCTCTTCTGACTGAATGTTTGCTGGTCTTTCATACCTCTTTCAGACCCATGACGCATGTTTAAAATGAAACCAAAGCTTGAAGACACTTGCAAAGCAATCTCAATGCAGGGTCCTTCCATATTTATGCTTGTGCACACCAGGTCCTATCCCTTGCTAGTGTTTATAGTTGCCTCACTCATATTTGATTATATGGTAATAGTTGAGTGGTTTTCCTTTATTAAATTTTTCCAAAGAATTTTTTAAAGATTTATTTATTTTTATTACAAAGTTAGATTTACAGAGAGGAGGAAAGACAGACAGATCTTCCATCTGCTGGTTTACTCCCCAAGTGAACCGCAACAGTCGAAGCTGAGCCAATCAGAAGCCAGGAGTCAGGAGCTTCTCTGGGTCTCCCATGTGGGTGCAGGGTCCTCGATTGCTTTCCTAGGCCATAGGAAGGGAGCTGGGAGGGAAGTGGAGCAGCCACGCCATAGACTGGCACTCATATGGGATTCCGGGTGTGCAAGGGGAGGACTTAGTCACTAGGGTACTGCACCCAGGTCCTCCAAAACGTTTTTGGAACTTTGTTTTCTTGTAAACAGCAGATTGTGGTTTTTTTAAGTTTCATTGGTTTACATATTGAATATACTAACATAACAAATATATCTATTATAAATAGATATAGAAATAATACTTATAGGTATATGACTTGACCGGTTGTATGAATTGTGAGGCTATATTAGAGCAGTGTTTTCCATCTCTTACCCTCATACTTCTTTACATTCTGAAAAAAAAAATTTGAAGATTTATTTATTTTTATTACAAAGTCAGATATACAGAGAGCTGGAGAGATAGAGAGGAAGATCTTCCCTCCGACGATTCACTCCCCAAGTGACCGCAACGGCCGGTGCTGTGCTGATCCGAAGACAGGAGCCTGGAACTTCTTCCAGGTCTCCCACATGGGTGCAGGGTCCCAAGGGTTTGGGCCGTCTTCGAACTGCTTTCCCAGGCCACAAGCAGGGAACCTGATGGGAAGCGGGGCCTCCAGGATTAGAACCGGTGCCCATATGGCATCCTGGCATGTTCGAGGCGAGGACTTCAGCCTCTAGGCCACGTCGCCAGGCCCACATTCTGAAAATTATTGAAAATCCTGAATTATTTTTATTTATGTGGGTCTTATCAATGTTTCTCGTTAGAAGTCAAAACTGAGCAATATGAAAATACTCTTTTTATAATAACAGTAAACGGGTTACAAGTTAACATAAATAAGTTTGTGCATCAGTCAATCTTTCAAGTAAAAAAAGTGCCCAGTTCAGCTTGTATCTCTTGTGTCTTAATCACTCAAATGCTTTGCCAAGACAGTCATGGTACAGATGGCAGACATGCAGTGAAGCATCTTCTGTACCTTCCTCATTTTATCATTTAGATTCTTAAAAAGACATATAGTCAAGAATCAAAGTTTAGTTATATATAACTGCTTTGTTAGGGACATCTGCCTTTAACTAAAATGAGACTTAAATATATGTATGTGTATATGTGTGTGTGTGTGTGTGTGTGTGTTTACTTACTTGAAAGAGTTACAGAGAAATAGGGAAGGGGAGAGTGAAGGAGGGAGAATGAGAATAAATGAATGAAGGAGTGAGTGAAGCATCTACCTGCTGGTTTACTCTACAGCGTTGCAGCAGCCTGGGATTGGGCCGGGACCCTGTGTGGTGCTAGGGGCCTATGCACTTCGGCTACCTTGAGCTGCTTTCTCTGGCACATAAGAGGGAAGTAGAAGTGAACTGGAATTAGAAGTGGAGCAGCTGGGTCTCAAAGGAGCATTTGTATGGGATGATCACTTCACAGGCAGTGAGTTAACTGGCTGTACCACAATGTCAATGCTACCATGTTCCTCCCCTCCACCCCCCGTTTTTTTTTAACTGCCGGGGTTAATTGGCTTACATGATCTAGTAGCCTTGTTTATTCATTGTTAATTGGTACCATGAGTGTAAATGCCAACATAGTAAAAGACAAACCTGTGAGGGTTTTTACAAGCATAGTTTTGGTACCATGGGCACGCTGTGAAGTCTGAGGACTCCCCCCGCCCCTCATCCCCCAAGATTCACAGGCTACACTTTGAGAATTTAATGAGCTATGATTGTGCTGTGGGCTTCACTTGTACTTTAAGGAGAAAATTGAAAATATTTGCTTAATGTAAAAATTCAATGGAAAATGACTAAGTAGAGTTTCTACCTAACACAAAAATTTTGAATGAGTTTTAAAATAATCTGTGACTCCAAACTAAGGTTTTTGAATATTGAGTTGTTTGGGATCTTTGAGTTTTTATTCCAACATTATTTTCTAGCTTGTTTTAATTTTTGTACTAACTATATTGATCACTTTTGGTCTGTTTAAAAAATATTTCCCAGTTCTCACAAAAATATTTTCTTTTAAATTTTTTTAAAATTTTCTTTTTAATATTTTTTGCATAATTGAAGGATATATGTGCATATGAACCTCCAGTTAGGATGGAGAGGGTCAGGTAGTGAGGAAGGTGAGTGGACTAATGTTCCAGTTTTTCTTTTCTCGTCACAGAAATATTTTCAAGGCTTGGCCCTGTGGTCTTAAAGATGCGCAGGTCGCTGTGTTAAAAGTGCTGTTTTCCTCCTTCATGCATTGCATCATCATACTTATGTTTTGTATTACTTCTTCCTTCAAATGAGTCAAAAATGATTCTTGAAAGGCTTAAGGGTTTGTGAGAAGTATAGTTTCTTTTTGAGGCAGCATTGAGGAATTGTAAAAATGGAATTACTCAAATGAAAAGGTAGATCTAATGCAGTATCCTGATTGAACATGAAAAAAGTTTTAATTGGTAAGCACAACCATTTTTAAAAATGTATGCTGTGTTTTGGATGAATTATCATCCATGATACTTTAACAATAGTGCATGATTCACGGGCATACCTCATTTTGAAGATTAATGTCTGTCAATTTAATTTTTAGAATATGCTTGAGTTGTTGGAAGAAATGCCAAATGGAGTTCCACCTGAAAAAGTAAAAAGTTACATCTATCAACTAATCAAAGCTATTCACTGGTGCCATAAGAATGATATTGTTCATAGAGGTGAGTACGGGCTTTTTTTTTTTTAAAAAAAAAAAAGATTTATATTTTTATTATTTTTTCATTGGAAAGGCAGATATACAGAGAGGAAAGACAGAGAGGAAGATCTTCCGTCCGATGATTCACTCCCCAAGTGAGCGCAACGGCCGATGCTATGCCAATCCGAAGCCAGGAGCCTCTTCTGGGTCTCCCACGCGGGTGCAGGTTCCCAAAGCCTTGGGCCATCCTCGACTGCTTTCCCGGGCCACAGGCAGGGAGCTGGAAGGGAAGCGGGGCTGCTGGGATTAGAACCGGCGCCCATATGGGATCCCGGGCATGCAAGGCGAGGACCTTAACCATTGTGCCATCGCGCCAGGCCCGAGTACGGTCTTTTTGAATGGAAAATATTAGTATAATATTAAAAAGTTAAAATATTTCATATGTTAAGAATATGTTTTAAAAAGAATATTTTCATAAGCACTGACATTTCACTTTAAGTTAACTATATTTTGGAAGTACAGTATGTTAGAATCTCTTTCTGTACCACCAAAAAGATGGGTTCCAAATGTGCAATGTCTGTGTTTGTCGAAGCAGATCCACTGTCAGCTTTGGACACACACAGTGATACAGGCGAGCCGAACAGATCTGAACTTTGGTCCTTCTGGTAGACCAGGTTAATGTAACAACCTGGAAGCAGGCATTATAGGTACCGTGACTCTGACCCCTCACTGGCACCTACCTCTTGTTCCTCTTACACCAACAAACAGTCTCTAGTGCTAATCTGTACCTCCTGATTTTCCCTACCTGCTAGTGGAAAGTAAACATTGTGTGCAAATTGCAGGCATGATCAGTCTTGTGTAAAGGCCATGCTTATATTCCCATAAGCTGTTTTATTTTATCATTTAATGCCGTGAAGTGAGTAGTTCATAGCAATCAAAGGAAATTCCTTGCTCAGCGTTATCTTTACATTTATCTTCACTTGACAGTCTCTGCTGCATTGCAGAGTTTTACAAAAGTAGGTACAAATTGACATAAAAATGAAGCTGAAAGTTGTTTATTAGAAAATGTTGCAGATGCTTCTTGTGTTTGAATTACCAGATGCACAAATGCTGCATTTTTATTTATGCGAATGCGCAAGGATATCCCATTGAAAATAGTTTGGCTTTTAAAGGTATCTTAGAGGTCATGCAAAGAATGCCAATCTGGAAAAGTTTACATTTCTCTTGCACTTGCCTCTCATGGCAGTTTTATCAAAATTATTGGTGGCATGGATAAGTCTCTAAGTAAACTGAGTAGTGTTCAGGATACTGATTCTAATGACAGTCAATATTCTAGTTTGAGAATGTTACTGAGGAACTGAATGATATAAATGTCCATTATGCTATTGTGTTTTGTTTAAACATATAGTAAATAGTGGTTCCCATTAGCAGTAGAAACTATAATTTTTAAAGATTTATTTTTTTATTATTTTTTTTATTGGAAAGGTGGATATACAGAGAGGAGAGACAGAGAGGAAGATCTTCTGTCCAATGATTCACTCCCCAAGTGAGCGCAATGGCCGATGCTATGCCAATCCGAACCCAGGAGCCTCTTCCGGGTCTCCCACGTGGGTGCAGGGTCCCAAAGCTTTGGGCCATCCTCGACTGATTTCCCAGGCCACAGGCAGGGAGCTGGAAGGGAAGCAGGGCTGCTGGGATTAGAACCGGCGCCCATATGGGATCCTGGGCGTGCAAGGCGAGGACCTTAACCATTGTGCCATTGCGCTGGGCCCGAAACTATAATTTAAAAAATCTACACATGTAACTGCTTCTGCCATTTGCACCTGTACCATGTGATAGATGGTAGGTTCTACACTGTGAAAACAGCATTGCGAAGTGCTTCTCCAGAGGCGACTCTACCTACATTTTCTCAGAGTTTCTACCCCTTAACTCATATCACATCTTCAAAAGACCTATGGAGAAAAACTGGAAGTCTGGACTCATCCAGTAATCATAGCTTCAATATTTTATGTTGATAATCAAGGCAGAGGGCCCGGCTTGAGTCCTACTTGCTCTACTTCCATTCCAGCTCCCTGCTCATGTGCCTGGGAAAATAGTGGTAGATAACAACTGCTTGGGCCCTGTACCCGTGTTCCCGCAGATGGAGCTCCCGGCTTTGGCCTGGCCCATGTCTGGGCTTGTGGAATCAGCAGTTGGAAGACTTTTCTCTAGCTCGGACTTTAAAATAAAATGTAAAAATCTTCAAGAAAGAGGAAAAATATTTAAACCATGACAGAAAATATATATTGTTTTCTTCCAGTAAATGGCACCTTGCATCTTACTTTTATACTTACTTTAAATGTAATAGGGATATACATATTTTATAAATGCTAAAAATTGCATTAATTAGTATTTTGGAAAGTAAAAATACTTTCTTGTGATGGATTTGCCTAGACTCAGTCATGTTTACGTTCCTTTCAGAAATTTAATTAATATCTTCAAGGGGAAATTATTTTTAGATGCAGTCTTTGTGTTTCTCAAAAAAAACTAATTGAAACTTTTATGAATCAACATAAAAATGGTATTGTTTTTCGCTGCAGTAGTTTCTATTTAAATTACTCTAGATATTTCTAATTAGATGCAGTAATTTAGAAATGTCAGTTGCAGAATGTATAGAACCTTTTTGCTAATGTCTTTTAATCTATATTCCAGATATAAAGCCAGAAAACCTTTTAATCAGCCACAATGATGTTCTGAAACTCTGTGACTTTGGTAAGTTGAAAAGAAAGTCGAGTCTTCATACTTCTTCAATTCATGTGAATATAATCCATAGGTAACTTGCAAAAGCATATTAAAGTGATTTTTGTGTTTTGACTTACATTAGCAGGGGAGCATTCAGTCTAGTGGGTCAGCTTCTGCAGAGTACCCCTCCCCATCAACCCAAGTCAAATTACACAATATGTATTTCAGAAGTTCATGAAAACATCTATTATGAAAAACTACACATGTATAAGTGTTAAACATTCATATCAACTTAGTTGTGTGTGGAAATTGATATTGCATTTGTGATTGAAGAATTCTGTTTATGGAATGCTCATTTTGGGGCTGGCATGATGGCTCAACTGGTTAATTACTTCTCTTTCTGTCTACAAGTCGCAGCATCCCATATGGGTGCCAGATTGTGTCCGGCTGCTCCACTTCTGATCTAACTTCATGCTAATGTCCTGGAAAAGTGGTGGAGGGTGGCCTAAAAGCCTTAGGTCACTGAACCCACTTGAGAGACCTAGGAGAAGCTCCTGGCTTTGGATTGGTTCAGCTCTGGTCATTGCAGCCATTTTGGCAGTGAATCAGCGGATGGAAGATCTTTGTTTCTGCTTCTCTCTGTAATCTGCTTTTCCAATTAAAATATATCATTTCTTTAAAGATTCATTTATTTTTATTTGAAAGATTTGCAGAGAAAGGGAAAGATCTTCCGTCTGCTGGTTCACTCCCCATGTAGCCACAATAGCCAGAGCTGTGCTAATCCGGAGCCAGGAGCCAGGAACTTCCTCCAGGTCTCCCGCGTGGGTGCAGGGTCCCAAGGCTTTGGGCCGTCCTCTACTGCTTTCCCAGGCCACAATCAAGGAGCTGGATGGAAAGTGGAGCAGCTAGACTAAGAACTGTCAACCATATGGGATCCTGGCACATGTAAGGCGAGGACTTTAGTCACTAGGCTATCCCACCAGGCCCCATAAATGGTTTTTTTTTTGTTGTTAATTCCCATTTTTTTTTCAGTGTGACAATTAGAAACATGTCACTGTTTTCTCTGAATATTTCCAAAGAATCTGAGTGTTGTGAACTTGCTTAAGAAAAAAATGTTTTATAGGACTTACTCTTTTATGCTCTATGAAAAATATTATAAGGAATCTTTATCCTAAATTTTTAACAATTTAGAATTAAAGTGAAATATGAAACAGTATATCTAAAATGTTTTGATGTTGGCAGTTTTAGCATTTTGTAGCATTATGGGTTTCAGGTACAGTAGATCTATTTGTGGCTTACTGTCCATAATTATGATTACCCTTCAATACTGAGACTTTATACACCTCATGTAACATTTACTGTGTACACATGCGTCTGTGGGTTGCTCAGCTATTGTAGCTTGAAAGTTACTGATATTTGTGGAGCAAGTTATAAGCAGAAAAGAAATGCTTGTGGAATAGCCAATAAAAGAATAATCCTAGTCTAGTATTATTTCTTTTTTTTATTAATTACATTGCATTATGTGACACAGTTTCATAGGCTCTAGGATTCCCCCATAGTATTATTTCTTTTTTTTTTATTGTTAGTAACATTGTATTATGTGAAACAGTTTTATAGGTACTGGGATTCCCCCCACCCCTCCCGCAACCCTACAACCATTGGTGGATTCCTCAACCTTGCTGCATAACCACAGTTCAAGTCCAGTTGAGATTCCTTCGTTGCAAGCATATTCCCAGCATAGAGTCCAGCATCCTATTGTCTAGACAAGCCCAGTGGCCGCTTGGGGCGACCCTCCCTGGTCTGAGGGCAGAGCTAGCAGAGTAAAGTCCCGGTCAGTTAAAAGCCCCAACAAAACATCAGCAACAATATACAGTGTCTTGGAATTAATTGACATAATATTGAGTAGACAGTATGTTAGAAATAATGCAAGTTCAATTTTTCAATACACATGGATTGAGACAGTATCAACGACAGGTTCAAAAACAAACAGACAAACAAAAGGAAAAAAAAGAAAAATTATACAGGTTAGATTAAAGCAAACGTGTGGTATCTAACCTTTTGGGATTCGCTCATTTCCCTTAGCATTATACGGTTCCTTCGTCTACATGCATAGTATTATTTCTTAAAGACTGAAATGGCCAGGAACCCCCTAGTGGCAGCACTGCATGTGGAATTCTGTGTCTTGTATGGTTCCATAGGGGCTTCCTGATTGTTCTGCCTGCTAGAACATGCAACTCCTGTGTGTGGCTTGAAAAACCCCATTCAAAAATAATATTAATTTTTAAAATATAATTTACACATATACACACTTATATGTACATATATGTGTGGTGTGTGTGTGTGTGTGTACTTTGTTAGGTCTGACATATTTAGTGACCATCTGTTATACTAGTTGAACTTTGACTTAAGATTTGCATTTGTTGGGAGAGGTGATTTCAGTATGCTTTGGATTTTTATAAAGGCATGAGGTGACTTTGAAACCATGAATTTCTTTAGCTTAAGGGAGAGACTGTTTATAGTGATTGTTAATTGACATGAGCACTCTACAAACTTTTCAAAGTAACAAGGACACTATTAATGAAGGGCTTGTTCAGTACCAGCCATTATGTCCTTTGGTGTTCTTTTAAAGTATGAACTAGCAGTGAAATATTTGCTAAGATGAAATTATTGCTCTTTCAGGCTTTGCTCGAAATCTATCAGAAGGAAACAATGCGAACTATACAGAGTATGTGGCCACCAGGTGGTATCGGTCCCCAGAACTCCTGCTTGGGTGAGTTACCTTGTCGAGGTAGACTGACTTCTGTAACTCTGCTGATCCTTTGCCACTAGTTTTGAGGTCCTCTGTGGAAACTAGTAACTGTAGTGAATTAAACATGTCAATTGTGTATTCAGTGTAACAAAGCACCTAAAACCTTTATGGTGTGAAACAAACACCTTTTATTTGCTTATGATTTTGTCAGTAATTTGAGTTTAGCTGGGTGGTTCTTCTACTTGTCTCTTGGTTTTGCTCATGTAGCTATAATCATCCGACAAAGCATCTGGGTGCTGATTCATTCAGTTAGGAAACCTCAACTAGGACAGAGGACAAACCATTTTCTAGTAGAGTAGTCCAAGTTTCTTTGTACAGTAGCAATAGAACGCCATACAAGAAGGCAAGTCTGAAGCTTTAAAAAGGGCTTTTCGGTCCTCTGCATAGCTTTTGCCTCATTTGACAAACAATGTTACATTACCAAAACCCCAGTTCAGGGTATAGAGAAATAAATCCCACTTCTAGATGGAAGAAATGACAATACCACATTTGTAAAAGTGGCATATGGATGGAAATGGGAAGAATTAGTGCAGCTATCTTTGCTAATAATCTTCCACATTAAAAATGTGAATATGCACAGGAGTTTGACGTTCTGACTTATTTATTCAGTTATTCAGTAAATACTTATCAAGTATTTCCTATGTCTAGCCACTTTACTAGACACATAGGGTTGATATTGAACCAATTGCAGTTTTCTCCCAAATTTGTAAATCGCATTTGATAATGAATGGCTATTCAGTCTAACACCACATTGATGATTTTCTCATTAGCATCTGTATTCATCTACTTTGTCTCTATCATTCCACTATTAATGTCCTTTCATTCGATTTTAACAACAGAAAAGAATATTTTGATAAGGTTCCTCTTTCCTTCTTAATACACTTTACCATTTGAGTCTAAAAAGAAATCTTAGTCTTAATCCTGTTCTCCATCACTTAACAAGTGTCTCCCTATGCTAGTTGTAGCATTGTGTTATTTTGTCTGAATTTCCTTCTTTAAACACCCAAGAAAAAGGAGACATACTCTACAAAATAAATTAGACATGGTGGTAATATCAACCAAAGTTAACACATTATAGATTTCATTTCTTTCCCTTGGCGTTCCATACATGCAACAAGGAGAAATGAGAAATTTAATTTATGAAAGATACATTTTATGTAATGGCAATATACATTACTGGATTTCTTCTGAGGATCATGACTTTAAATTCCTCTCATATTAACTCTTCGTTTTCCCAGTGTCTACCAACCATTTGTTGTTAATTTTTGATTCATTGCTGACTTCAGGCCTGTAGAAATCATTGTTAGTTTGTAAGAGATTTACTAGGTTTTTTTTTTTTAATCAAAATCTTACTTTATCCTGAGAAATAATTGATAGGTAGTCCCTTTATTGAGTTGTTCATTTGTGTGGGCAGAGTTTAGAATTTCTGCTAATTTTTAGTCTTCGGTTTAGGATTGATTTTCTGTTTCTTCTGTGAGTCTTTCTGGACGCATTGAGGTACATAGGCCATTTTCTTTTGGGTGGATTGGAATTTGATTTTACTGGATACTATTAGGCAACAAGGAATGAATATGAAATACATTATTCTTAGAACCTAATCTGAGCACCCAGAATAGTGGAGAAGACTCTATTGCCTTGTTTATGAGCTCTCCCCAAGGAGTTCTTCCTAAGGACAGCTTTATAGTCCATCTTCGGAGGGTGTTTGCTATTTAATAATACCTACAGGAAAACTGAGGTTATGCTTAGAGATGTGTGTTTTAGAGATGTGAGATTATGTTTAGAGATGTGTCAAAAGTAAATAGAGACAATGCAACTAATTTGAGCAAGTTGAATAGTACTAGCTGATATCAAGTCTAGCGTAAGAACCGTATTACTTGTCCAAAAATTCCTTTGAAATCTAACTTGATCTTTGATTATATGATAAGAGTTTACATTTTGGGGAGTGTTATAATGCTGTGGATTAAGCTGTTGCTTGCAACCCCAGTGTCCTTTGTAAGAATGCTGGTTTAAGTTCTAGCTGTTTTGCTTTTAATCCAGCTTCCTGTTATTGCTCTGGAAGGGCAATGGAAAGTGGCCCAGATACTTGGGCCTCTGCCATCCTTGGCGGAGACCAGCATATAGTTCCAGGCTTCTGGCCCAGACCTAGCTGTTGGAATTATTTGGGAAGTGAAATAGTAGATGAAAGACCTCTCTTCCTCTCTCTGTGTCTCTGCCTTTCAAATACGCGAATCTTTTTTTTTTAAAGATTTTAGAGATAATTTATACTTTAATACATTTCCAAGGTTTTGTCCTTGGCATTCAAAATAGTTCCAGCTGTATAAATTATTCAAATCAGAGGAAAGAAGAATAGCATGTAGTAGGAATGTGGGGGTTTGTGGTTTTCTCCATCTAGCACTGTGGAACAATTTTCTTTTTCTCAAATAGCTATCAAAGAAAGTTCTATATCCTTCCCAACAAGTTGTCAAAAGTAGATGAGATTTCCTTATATTGGTCCTTACGTTTCTGTGGGAAATAAATTAGATAAATGAAATATTGATTTATTGTTACAACGATTTATTATCCTAGAAGCAAAGCATTCTTTAAAATGTGGACAGTACGTTAGTTTGAAATGTTTGTATTAGTACTGTATCATGGCATGCTAGAATTTCATTTCATACTGCTTTTCAAATATTTTATTTCCCACTTCTTAAAGTTTGGAGTATTTATATTTGAAATCATATATATATATATATATATGATTTCCTTATCTGCTATAAATCATTTGACTTAAGGTGGTAGATAGTAGGGTGTAAGTATAAAGCTGCTTTGAGGTTACCTAGATTTTTTTAGGTGTATCCTCCATTTGTTGACAGTAGCAACACTCCTGAAGCCCTCTGGTGAGCTTGGACCCTAGGAGAGAGCTATAAACCCATAGGTAAACTGAGATCTGAGGAAAATTTTTGAGCTATCATAAAGCCTGTGCGCATATAGTGTCCAAATCTATTCAAGTAAATAATATAGTAGGGCTTGGTACAGTCTTAACTATTGGAAACTGTGATGCTAAATAATCAAATGTTAAATAATGGCATTTATTGGCTAAGAAGACCAAGTCAGTAGTACAATTTAATAGACTGAACTTAGAAAAATAGGTATGATGGAACTTTTTGACATTTAGAGAGCTAAATTAGGATTACATACAAAATACATTTCTTGGGAGCATTTTATTTCCTAAGTGAAGTGTTATTCATCAGACATGTTTTATATTAAGGTTTATTAAACCATTCATGTTCAAGATCTACCCAGATATGAATAGATTTCAAATTAGTGCCTACTAAGTTGTTGCTAAACTGCAGGCTTTATTAACCTAAGTTTATTCAGTTGTGTTCTGAATTTTCCCTTGAACATCCACAGTTCCTTATTTTTAGCCTAACTATTTCACATCACACTTTTTCATTCCTTAAGTGTAAATACACAATTTATGCCTTTGATTATGGATGTATTCAAGATAATTAGGAAAGTATTAAATCGTTATTTCTTCACTCACCTAGATAATCTCTCCTTTGCTTTTCAGAGCTCCCTATGGAAAATCTGTGGACATGTGGTCAGTTGGCTGTATTCTTGGTGAGCTTAGTGATGGACAGCCTTTATTTCCTGGAGAAAGTGAAATTGACCAACTTTTTACTATACAGAAGGTGCTAGGACCTCTTCCTTCTGAACAGATGAAGCTCTTCTACAGCAATCCTCGCTTCCATGGGCTCCGGGTAAGAAGTTTAGCTAAAGCGCACAATGGAATTAGTAGGATAGCATTTACTTAAATCATTGTGCATTTCACAATGGAATACTAAGCTGTCCTTTGATTGCTATTCCCTTTCTCATTACAGTATTTATAATCCTCCACCATAATAATATTTTGAGTCTTATGTAATACTTGTGAATTTTTTAAATGGTGAAAATTTGAAAGTAAGATCTGCTCATTTTTTTTTAATTGGCAAATTTTCACTTAGAATCTTTCTAAGTATCTGCATTATTCTAAACCTTGATTATCTTACACTGTTTCTTTGTCCAAAATATTAAGCTTCTTCAAAAGATACAAAATGTTTAAACAGCGGATTCTTAGTTGAGCAGAGACGTTTGTGGTGATTGAAGAAAGGCCACAAGTGTTTGCATTTCATGGATTTAAAGATTCTTGTTCTAGCACGGAGTTTTGACCATCAACAATAAAATACCAGATCTTTTCAAACTGTTGTATTGTCTTGCGGTCTTGCCTAGACTATTTCAGTTTGTGTGTAAAACTTGTTTGTGGGAATATGCTAAAAAAACATCTTAGAAAGTATAGGCTTCCTCCAGATGAGAAACATCCAGTTTATCAAGTGACCAATAGCGTTACTGCCAGGTTTCCTCTCTCTTCCATCTGCCCATCTCTACTCATTTCCTTACCCCCACCCAGCAACCTTTTGAGTTCTCTAGCACTCTTTTGCGCCAATTAGTGACCATAATCTCACTGCCACTTCCTTTTTCCTAAGTGCATAATTCTCAAGCTTTATTATCTTGCCATTTTCAGTTTCCTGTGACTTTCTGGACCTCAGTTAGCTTCCCTCTCGAGAACGCCACTATTCACACATGGGTGCCCAGCGAACTCCCAGCTTTTGGTAGGCCCAGTGAATGTGAAAGAAATTAATGAACAAAGGCATACACACAGTTTTTCTTTCTTTTCTTTTCTCTTCTTTTTCTTTCTTTCTTTTCCTTTCTTTTCTTTCTTTTCTTTATTCTCTGTCTCTTCCAAATCTGAGTTGCCTCAGTAACATTTTTCTCATTTTTGCTGTTGGACCAAAAAATACCCAAATCAAAACATTCATTAGCGTGCAAGTAGCATATGTGGTTCAACAGATTAATTGCACTGAAAATAGATGGTAAATGGACTTGCTCTAGTGTAGCAGAAAGGAAACATCCGTAATTTTCAGAAATGGTGTTAATCATACTAACTGAATTTGTTTCATTGAGAATTAATCCAAATGCTTGCCATAGCCCATGGGACTTCGCATAATTCAGGCCCTTTGCGATCTCTGACAGTTTCTCATACCTGTCTTCATTCGTTGCTCTCTTGGCACACCTGTTTATTTTTTGACTTCCATAGGCAGCCAGCCTTCTTTTTGCCTGGTTAAAAAGGCTGTACAGCAGGACCTCTGAAAAAAATATAAACAAATTTGACATGGTTACCTGGTTTTAATAACTTACAAACTGAAGAATTAAGATTTTATTTATGAAATAATTAGAAAACAGTGCAATTTGTAAGAAAGGAATATAAAGCACTGAATTCTTTATTGTATCCTATGGCTTCTAATATATCTTATTTTGGTTTGGATCATGAACATATCAATAAATACCCTGAGAAGATTTAGGAGTACTTGACATTTGAATTGCATATTGAAGAATGAGTAGCAGCTGGCTTAGAGAGGTCTCCGGAAGGGTGGCTCCTCCTCATCTGTCTGTGGTCCTGTTCAGTCTTCTCACTTAACAATGTCGTGTAAAATTCTACACATCCTGTGATGACACTGCTTAGAGGTATCCCTTATAGAAATTGCTGCTTCCATGACACATTGATTTTTTTTGTACACCTTACTATTTTTGCATTTTCATCTGAAAGTGTTTGGTGTTTTAATTAAATTTAATCTCATTGGAGGCTTAATGACATCTTTTGAGAGGAAAGTTTTCTTTCATTATATCACTTTAGAATATCTGGGACATACAGTGAAGCGCACACATCTGCTGTGAACCATGGACTCACTGGTAAAGAGTTCGATGAGAATTTGCATTGACTGTGTAGAGTTGGAAACCCCACAAAATGTTACCCTGATGACAAACAATTGGTAACATCTAGTAGAGGACATGGGCTCCAGAGTTACATTGCTGCCCTTCAAAGCCTGGCCTGTGTTTGCTACTCGAATGACCTTAGGAAGTCACTGCCCCACCTCGGACTTCTGTTTCTTCATATGTAATGTGATGATGGGTTTATTGTAAAGACAAACTTCACAACATTTTAAGTGAAATGCCCAGACCTCATGCCCAGCACACACTGAGTGTGCTCAGTAAAGAGGTACCCTCATTGGGCTGTCCTGGCTGGGTAATGAAGAAAGGAGGGAAGACTACTGATTGCTCTTCTTGTTTGTTGAATTCTCTTTAATTGTAATGATAATTTTCATTTAAAAGCCTATCAGTTTCTTAAAGTCAATAGTTTGATCATTTTAAATTCATGTAACATTTATAATGCTTCTTTTCAAATTTTTTTTAAATTTTTTATTGTGGAAAATCACTTCTCAGGACTGGTACTGTGTTACAGCAGGTTAAGCTGCTGCCTGTGGTACCAGCATCCTATGTGAGGACCAGTTGGAGTCCTGGCTGTTCACATCCCATCCAGCTCCCTGACAGTGCACATGGAAAAGCAGCAGAAGATGGCCGACGTGCTTGGGCCCCTGCCACTCGCACGGGGGCCTGGGGTGGAGTTCTAGGTTCCTGGCTTCAGCATGACTCCGCCCCAGCCATCACAGCTGTCTTGCTCCTGCTCTCTGCCTTTCAAATAAATAAATCTTTTTTTTAAAATATCACTTCTAGAATAAGAAAAGAAGGTACTTGATAGCAAAAGGTAGACCTTATTAACAGAATATTAAGTAAAATACACTAGTATAGGGTCTTTTATCACAGTATGGCAGGTTCTCTCTTTGGACTGCTATGTTTCAGTAGCATCCAAAAGAATCTCTGCACCGGGCCCGGCGCAATGGCGCAGTGGTTAAGGTCCTCGCCTTGCACGCCCGGGATCCCATATGGGCGCCGGTTCTAATCCCAGCGGCCCCCGCTTCCCATCCAGCTCCCTGCCTGTGGCCCGGGAAAGCAGTCAAGGACGGCCCAAAGCTTTGGGACCCTGCACCCGCGCGGGAGACCTGGGACTCTGCTGCATGTACCCCTCAGGCTCAGGTCAAAATCCCCCTAACAGTGGCCAGCAATACTCAACCTGCCTTGCTAGCTTGCTCTTCAGCTGCTCGCTCCCCCAGCCAATAGGCAACCACCACCCACATCCCCTCCCCCTTTCACCACTCTTCTCTCTGACTCTGTCATGTCTCTTTTTTTTTAAGACTTATTATTTTTTGGGCCTGGCACAATGGCACAGTGGTTAGGGTCCTCGCCTTGCACGCTCAGGATCCCATATGGGCGCCGGTTCTAATCCCTGCAGCTCCACTTCCGTCCAGCTCCCTGCCTGTGGCCCGGGAAAGCAGTCAAGGACGGCCCAAAGCTTTGGGACCCTGCACCCACGTGGGAGACCCGGAAGAGGCTCCTGGCTTCGGATCGGCATAGCATTGGCAGTTGCGCTCACTTGGGGAGTGAATCATTGGACGGAAGATCTTCCTCTCTGTCTCTCCTCTCTGTATATCCACCTTTCCAATAAAAATAATAATAAAAATTAATCTTAAAAAAAAAAAAAAACCTCTGCACCTCCCTGAGGTGAGGCAGTCAAACTTAAAAACTGTGGGTGTGGGTTTAGGCCTGAGTGCATGTGCCAGTTCTGCTACTTTGGGGTTATATAACTTGCCCCAAACCAGTTATTGAACTTTGTGATCGTCAGCTTCCTCATCTCTAAAATAAGCATGATAATGCCTAAAATAGTTCGCAGGGCGTTACTTCCCTCAGAATTCAGTTTTAGGTTTTGCGTGTGCGTCTTTGTTAAGTTCATGTTTTTCTTTTTACTTCCTGTCTCCTGAAGGTACTGTCCTACTTTTCTCCATCTTCACATGTTTCTTTTCTTCCAAAACCCTGTTAAAATATTGCCTGTGGGTTCTTTTCTTCTGCAACTGCAGCCCACCCTGATCTTTGCTTTCTCTGGGCCTCAGTCAGCATGCAGGGCTGCAGAACTAGCACTGCTTGCTTCCCAGCCGGGCAGCAGATGCCCCAGGTGCCAGATTTAGGAGGCCCTGGCGTTCCGGCTCCTGCTGTACAGAGCACTGCATGGCGATGATGTCATAATCACTCCTTGAAGACTTTCTTCAAATTTAACTACACAAATAGTTTCCCATCCACTTAGTTAGCATATTTAGGAATTTCATTAACTTGAAATGCTCTGAGGCAGTAGGATGGGACTCAGCCAGTCATCTGACCCAGTGCTTTACCATTCCCCGAGAAAGACTGCAGAATGCAAGTTAGTAGAGGAAAGGAGCAGAGCGGCTAAATAAATGGGGCCTCTCCTCCTCATTTTGTTAGTCCAAGAGCCTTTGTTTGCCTTGTATGCCAGCTTTAAAAAGGCAGGATTTTAAACCAAGGCATTAAGAGCAATACGAGAATGTCTAAAGTTGCTGTTTCTCCTTCTGTGGCTTTGCAGGTATCAGCATCTTACTGCCTTTTCATCTTTTTTACATCCCTGTCTTTAGCAGTAATTGTGTTATTGTGAAGAACAGTATAAGAGTTTTGTGTGATGTCTTATAATATCCCTTCTGCTAGTTACCCAATTACTGTCATTAATTAAGGAGCTGCTATATAAGCAGACAAATCCTGTGTAAACTGTAATAGAACTGACTTGTATAAGCAGACAGTGCACTATAAATTGTATAGTCTCTAATTTTTACAATAGACTTTGTTGTATATGCCTACATTTAAATATTGTCTTCTGCCTGTGGGCATTTTCCTGCTCTTTATCATCTGAACCTAAAGTACATAGATACCAAAATTAGTATATAAATATGAAAAAGTTCATGGAAAAAGTTAAAAAAAAAAAAAACCAAGCTCCTTTAAAAAAAAAAGGAAAAGATAGACTTTATTGTTTGTATTTGAAAGAGTTACAGAGAGAGGGAGAGATGAAGGTCTTCCATCCACTGGTTCACTCAGAGCAGAGATGATCAAGAGCCAGGAGCTAGGAGCTTCTTCTGGGTCTCCCCTATGGGTGCAGTGGCCCATGGACCTGAGCTGTCCTCCACTGCTTTCCTAGGTCAAAAGCAGGCAACTGGATCAGAAGTGGAGCAGCTTGACATGAACCAACACCCATATGACATGCTGCTGTTTAGAGGTGGAGGATTAGCCTGCTACATACACCATGACACTGGCACCTCAAGCTACTTTTGTGCCAGCCATTTAGTCCATCCCTCAGGAACTGAGGGCCATGGGGATTCAACCATGACAGTGCACTTTGGGTTTTTTTGTTTGTTTTTGAAGAAAAATGGTTGTTCTTTGTTTTAAGACTATGAAACAAAAAGAAGGCAGAAGGGCCGCATCAGGACTCTGCAGTGACTGACTGTGGATTTCCTGTGAAAACTCCCCAGATTACTCTTGTCTGATGAGCGGCATGAGCAGGGGCATGGTCATATTGGAGAGGAACTTTGAGCTTTTCTAGGTGGTTTCCTACTAAAGGTTTGGCAAGCTTTCTCAAAACACTCCCATGTTCAGAAGTCAGCAGGCAGAATGCCTTGAGCAGTCCCCAGATGTTGCTGCTATGGCCTTTGCTTTTGGCTGCTCAGCTTCTGTTGTGACTCTATCGCCTTCACCTTTCGGCAGCCACAGCTGGTGTTGGGTTCTTTTAGGACTGGAGTGGGAAAGCCACATGTCAGCTCCAGCTTCAATTCTTTGGAAAAAAAAAAAAAGATTCAATGTCCTAATACCACTTTCCACTTTTCTTAAAATTTCCATGGAGAGCTGTCTGAAAGTGATCTGAGTGTGACAACTTCGGTACCTACTGAGCACAAAATTCGCTCCACTTTAATTTTTTCCGCCAGCATTTTGTAAGCTGAGCCAATTGAGATGTCTGTGGTGTTGGCAGTTGCCTGCCATGAATATGTCAGTCCTTGCAGAATAATGTGGATGGTCTGCTTAAAGCTGTGGACTCCATCTTCATCATTTCATCTCTTCGTTGAGAATGTTTCTAAACTGCTGGTTTCTTGGCAGCATTGTCTCTATATGCTTTTTGTAAAGCATCAGTGATTTCCCTATTCTTCACCCAAGCTTCACCATCTATTTGATGTTTGTTCTTGCTTCAATGTTAGCAGAATTCGTGTTGTTCTGAAAATGCCTCTTTTCAAACTGGTGTCTTAGCCTTTTTAGTATCTCAAAATAGATCCTGTTGAAACATGTTGTAAGGAATTAGCACAAGTTTTATTTTGGTGCGAAAAGAAAATTAAAATCTCTGTACAGTTTTTTTTTTCATATTAGGCATTTTTTACGAACTTTAAAATACCCTTCATAGAATGTGACTTGGGTTGACACTGGGGGAGGTAACTTTTACTCCCTTCTGTGGCACATATACATGTAACCTATCATCCAGATACTAACGTTCCTGTCATGTTGTTGTTACAGTTTCCAGCTGTTAACCATCCTCAGTCATTGGAGAGAAGATATCTTGGCATTTTAAATAGTGTTTTGCTTGACCTAATGAAGGTAGGAGAAGTTGATGTTTGTATAAAGCCTCCTTTAGTTTAAGGACTCTGTTGTATATGAATTACATGTTTTTAAAGTGAATGTGTGATGTTGACGAATAGGGGACTGTGTTGTCTGAAAGGCATTTTGGTAAAATTACAAGTGGATTTAATATATCGTAGTCCCTAATTTACTTTCCTAAAATAGGATAATAAAAATTGCTTAGTTGCACAGGGACAGGTTCTAATGAAATCTTAGAATGAGTGTTGAAAGAATGTAGAATCCTGTGATTTTTTTTTCAACTGATATTTAAGACACCCACTAGTTTATGCACACTTGATCAGTGAACCAGTTCTTTGCTGTTTATAATTTGGCCTCTTCTTTCCCAGATTCCTCTTTTTGGCTCCTTTTTAGCTATGTCAGAGTCACTGCAATCATTTTGTGGCCTCTGTCCCTTTTGTGGCACCCTGTCCAGATGTCCCCCTGCTTAGGACTTCTTAAAAACAGCCTCAATTCCTTTATTCTAGCATTTCTTCCCCAGCAGGCAGTGAGTCCCTTGAGAGAGAACTGTCTTTCTCACTTCAGTTGCACTGTAGCCAGCCAGTGCATGAGCAAGTTCTTATTGTTTGATAGTAGAACTTAAAAAAACTGTTGTTAATAGATCAATTTTATTGTTTGTTCATGCAGTCAGCTGTCAAAATCCGTGGATGTTGTACTGTGCCTAGCGCCTTTAAAGGGCATACTTAGCACAGTTGGAAATGGCTGAGCAGCATTCTCAAAATTTTGCTAGGCTTTAAACTATGTTAAGCTGTGTTCCAGGGGACATAGTGTAAATAGGTGTGTGGGCAGAGGTGGGAGAGGTGGGTGTGACTTTGGGGAAAAGTCCACATACCTTATAATCTTTTGTAGAGATTCACAATATTCATTAATCTATGAAGACTCTCAGAAATCTCAGTAAAGCAGCATTTTGTCTCTTCCAATATTTGCCAGATTTAATTGCTGAATGCTGTTTGTTTTTTGTTTTTTTATAAAACCCTAAAGCACTAACATTCTTCTGAACACAGATTGAGAAGTGCTATTAAAAATAAAAAGTCAAAGCTTTCACTGTAATTAGGCATAAATTATCGCTTAAGTTGGTTGAGTTTTGTCAGTATGCTCTTTAACATGCTTACTGCTTATTGATAAGGACCTTAACAATTTAGTAATTTTAAAAATATAAAAAGAATGAAGTTGAAAATGGAAATAAATGCATGTTTTCTGCTTTTTGTTTTCTTTTAGTTAAAAATAATTGAACATTTTTGTTAGACCATTGCCAAGTGTAATTACTAAGCATCAGTGTGGTATCTGATTAAAAGCTTACACTGATAAGAAGCTACCACAGTTAAAAGTAGAACAATATTCTGAAACTTTCTGTACTTCTGACAGATTGGAAGCTAAACATTCTAGTTCCTGTTTATTTAATATATTTACTGTCATGTCTCTGAAAAGGTACTCAAATTATGTCTACTTCTCAGTTAAGTTTTATGATGTAAACATGTTTATAATACAGAAGATTGTTAACACTCCAGATACCTCCTTAGGATTCCTGCCAGGCTTTGTAGTCCTGACCCAAGAAACCACAATTCTGACATTTGTCACCAGCAATTAATACTGCCTTGTGGAGCCTGGCGTGGTAGCTTACTGGCTAAATCTTCACCTTACATGCACTGGGATCCCATATGGGCACCAGTTCATATCCCAGCTGCTCCACTTCCCATCTAGCTCCTTGCTTGTGGCCTGGGAAAGCAGATGGAGGACAGCCCAAAGCCTTGGGACCTTGCACCCGCATGGGAGACCTGGAAGTAGCTCCTGGCTCCTGGCTTCGGATCAGCTCAGCTCAGACCAGTGTGGCCACTTGCAGAGTGAGCCAGCACATGGAAGATCTTTTTCTCTGTCTCTCCTTCTCTCCGTATTTGCTTTTTCAATATAAATAAATCTTTAAAAAATATTGGCTTGTTATTATTGATTATTACATAAATAAAATCATCCTTTTTTGGTGTTTTTGAAGATTAATTTGAAACATCAGAAATGTCCTTTCATGAGAAAAATATTTTGTCTTTCTCTATAGCTGTCTTGATCATTTTGGCCCTATATTGCTAACCTTAAATTGCCATCCTGTCTTATATCTAATTATAAACCATTTTAGTAAGCATATAAATTATGGAATTAATTTACAGCTCTAATAGTTTTAATTTTTTTAACTTTTGTTCATTTGAGAGACAGCAAGAGCTCTCTGCTGCCTCATTCCCTAGTGCCCATAATGCCTGGGGATAAGCCAAAAGGAAGTTCAATGCAGATCCCCCCCATGGGTGTCAGGGACACAACTACTAGAGTTATTATCTCCTGCTTCACAGAGTAGACAGTAGCAGGAAGCTGGAGTGTGATTGAAGCCTTGAGACAATGTGAGGCACAGTCAAAGAGATACTATGGTGCCCCAACTGGCATCTTAACTGCTAGGACATATGCCAATGACAGGCTTTATTTAAAAAAAATAAATAAACAAATAATTATTAGGTTGTTCCCCTGGACCATGTTACTGAATTTTAGAAACTGTTAACTGAGTAAAATTTCTCTTGCTAATCTCATCCTTCAAGTAATTAGAAAAACAATGCTATAAGCATAAATGTATTTCTTTGTATGTGCTGTAGTGTCTACTGTTGACATCTAATTGCACTAATGCAGTTATTTATCTTCTAGTCATATAAACTTCTAATTTAAGAGACTACTCAAAGGCCAGCTTTCCTTTTTTTAAACTGGTATCTTATAGTTGAATGAATTTTGATGTTAGCTTTAACTGTCAGAACAAAATCGTGTATACCTTCACAGTTTTGTTTTATATTAATGAGTTATGATCATTTCAGAGTTGAATCAAAATCAGCATGAATATATATCCATTACCTGTAATCAGTAACTTGGATTTTAATTAGCAGCATCTTTTCACACAAATAACATGTCAATATATCATAGAATCAGAGTTAAATTTTCTGTGGAGCTAGTTGAAAGTGTTAAATTAAGGTCTTGCTTAAATTGAGGTCTTGCTATGGGAGCAGATCTGAGATTGCTCTTGCTGTTTAACACAGCACAAAGAGTAACAAAGGGAAGAACCAGTTGAAATGAGCTAGAGAGGGATTTATTACCACTGCAATTTTGTTTTTCTTCCTTCCTCTAAGGAAGCATGGCAATCCTTTAAAGATAAAATTTCATTGTGGTTTATTGTGTTGTGTCAGACTATGTAGATCGTTTCCTTAAGTATTTACTTGATTTAATTAATTTTAATGAAGATCCACCCTTTAAAATCTTGTCCAGTTACTAAAGATAGATCATATTGTAAGAAAAGGTTTTAGTTGTAGAGAATCTAATATGTAGAACATAAAACAAAGGGTAGGTATCTTAATGAATAAACAATTATATATTAGATGCAGAAGTAGAAAGATTTAAAAAACATAAAATATTAAGACTCACTAATAATCAAGGATGTGAGTTAAAACTATTTCCAGATACTGTTTTTTTAAATATCTAATTTAGAAGTATTAAAAAGAATAAAAATGTTGCTGTCTGCTAAGAGTGCCAAGGTATTATTAGAGTCACCCTTTTAGAGGTGAATATGATCTGATATGGCCTTCCAAGGCCGGTAAATTGGAGACACAACGAAAAGAAACCTTAAAATTTTGCATCCCTCCCAATTCCATCATTAGGATTTTTAAAAAGGATGTATTATTTCTTTTTAATGGAAAGGCAGAATTACAGAGAGGAGAGACAGAGATCTTCCATCCATTGGCTCACTCCCCAAGTGGCCGCAATGACCAGAGCTGAACCAGTCTGAAGCTAGGAGCCAGGAGCTTCTTCCGGGTCTCCCACGTGGGTGCAGGCTTACAAGGCTTTGGGCCGTCCTCCACTGCTTTCCCAGGCCACAAACAGGGAGCTAGATGGGAAGTGGAGCACCGCGATATGAATCTGCACCCATATGAAATCCCAGTGCATGCAAGGCGAGGATCTAGCCACTGAGCCATCATGCCATCTCCATCTTTAGGATTTCATACTGTGAAAGCAGTCATGGATAAGTGCAAATAATTCATGTGTTCAGCACAGCATTAATTATAATAGTAAAAACTGGCTGGCATCCAATGTATTTCTTGCAGTAGAAGATATATACATATATATATGTGTATATATATATATATATATATATATATATGAAACCTTTTTTTTAAAAAAAACATGCTGTAAGGTTGTTTGTTGGTGCATTATTTATAATGGCAATAGTAAACAATTAAATATTAAATACATAATGTATAGTTAATAAACAACCTGAATATTTGTTATTACAGAATTGCTAAAAGCAAATAAATATATCGATGGAGTTAAAACTCTTTCCCAATTTGGAATGATCTTTTAAAGTTGGTGTTTCAATTGGAACAAAAATGAAGTGTAGGTGATGGTATGCTGATGTTTGGACAGAATACAAGGAGCAGTTGGGGCTATGTATAAAATATCTATGGAAGGATGAACATGAAACTGGTAACCTGGGCTACTTCCAGATAAGTAGTTAAATAGCTGAGGGATGGGAGGAAGATGAAGAATGTCTATTTTCATGTGAAAATAGACTTAGTAAAATATTTTAAATGTTTACTTATGTAAAAATGTCTTTGATCCTTAAGTGCAAAGTGTAGGATACAGAATTTATGTATGTAACATGAGTCAGATTTTATAATAGATAATATGTCTCTGATATTCACAAAAGGGCTGAATGGGTTTATACTGAGAACACTGCAAATGGTGAGAGACTGTAAGAGACTTCAGTCCTGTTGCTTGTCTGAACTGTGTCTGTTAGATGTGGCATAATCATGTATTTCTTTTAAAAAAATAAGGTAATTATTAGAGCTTACATTTGACTTTCTAATGTCCTTTCCATTCCTAAACTTTATTTCCTAAGAATTTACTGCAATTGGACCCAGCTGACAGATACTTGACAGAACAGTGTTTGAATCACCCTACATTTCAGACCCAGAGACTTCTGGATCGTTCCCCTTCAAGGTCAGCAAAAAGAAAACCTTACCATGTGGAAAGCAGCACGTTGTCTAATAGGTAAATATTCCCTTTTAAGGAAATACAGATGCAGTGTTGGTCTTAGAAGTAGGTGGAGGAGGTGGCTGCTAAAATGATGCAATTATAGAAAAGGAAAACCCTCTTTATTCAAAAATATCTTCCTTATGCTTATTACATGATTCAGAACCACAATTAAAGAGCTGTGTGGGTCTTAAAGACTTTGTTATCATTACTAAGTGTGTTATGGAAACGTATGCATCCGTTGGGAAAGAGAGCATTGGTTTAGCATCTAAAGGGCTTTTCCACATTAAGAGCTGGAAGATTCTGTGTAAATGAGACCCAGGAGTGATGGCTTCAAGGAGGATGGGTAGGGAGCAGGGAGAATCGCAGAGGGTAAATAGAATGCCACAAAGAAGTGGAGGGGAAGGTACCTGGGACAGTCTTTCCAACTGCCAAATCCATCTGGCTCTATAGAAGGGTCTTGCTTTTGTTGCTCTTATGTTTTAGTCATTGGGCTCAGAAATCTTTTCCTGGGAACTAGAACATAGAAATAGTAAAGTTAGTTATTGAAAGTGATACTTTCAAAATAAGATTTTTCAATGTAGTCTTTTGCAAACCTGTTTCTGATACACATGGGATTCCACTATACAATGATGATCTTTGCAGACCTCATGTTCCTTATTTTGTAGGCTGCAGCACTCATAAGAAGATGATGCCATGGGCAGGATCTCTCCGCCTGCATCTCCCGAGTAGTTCAACTTATCTGGGGTTGTTAGATTACGGAAAATAGGAAATCATTTTTCTCATCATGGAACAGAAATAGCAAATAATTATTCCTAATATGAGACGTAATCAGAATTTTGCAAACACAAGATCTGGTACTTTTTAGGTTAGCTGTGTGTGCTAACTACCCTCTAGATATGAAAGAGAGAGGGTGGGGAAAAGAGAATTCCAAGAGCCCAAGGAGAGTTGGTGCTGGGCAGAGAGAACCCACAACTCATCCTGTGGAAAGTAGTCTTTGCAGGAACCCAGCTGGGACTTGAGTGCTGAAAATAGGAGAGAAGTGGGTAAGATTATCTTCTAGCCTCATCCTGCAAGTTGGGAGCTAGGCTGTGATCCGAATTCTTCAGCATTGTGGTCCAGAACCAGAGAAGGGTGGAGAACGGATTGGGGGTTGGACACATGGAGACTAACCAATGTATGTAAATCTATTTATGAGAGAGACTGATATTATTTTTCTAAATAGCTGAGATATTTTAGCATCAAAAATTTATGATAACTCTTAATGGTTTAAATCTTGACCCCTTAAAATGGATATGGGGATTGTCCTTTGTTGATCTGGAGATAGACTGCTCACCTCATTTACCACAAAGTCAAACTTAATGTTCCTTTCTTTGTAATTTTTTCCTAGGTGTGGAACTTAACCGTTTAGTTAGCTCATACTTAAGTATTCTTACTTAATTCTGTGGTTTTTGTGATCTTGCTGGGAGAGATTAGCAAGTGCTTGTAGAGATATACAAGGTTTCGTAGGCTTAATATAAGAAATTTTTTTTCTCTCTCAGGTGCTTCTTGGCAGAGATCAGCATCTGAAAGCTGCGATAGGAAAAGTGCCCTTATGTTTGATGCTTGGGCCAGCAGATCCTCGTAGGGAAAATAGAAGGTCCAGTTTCATGGACTACCATTCTATATGTAACCGAAATGGGATTTCCTTCCAATTAGTGTCTGATGGGAGCAAAACTTTTCCAAATCAAGACATCTTTAGCAAGAGCTGTATTTACAGCAAAATTTAATGAGGAAAGAGGGAATCATGTAAATCATTATTCATATTTAAACATTCTAACCTATGTCAAGCTACTATCTCGTCCTTTGAATAGAGAAGAACAAACTGACCTTGCTATAGTGTCAATTTGAGCTTTCAAATAGAGAAAAAAACTTTGCCTCTGCATTCATCTTCTGTATTTGAAACCAAGAAGGAAATGAAGCTTTGATTTCTAAAGAAATCCTCATTTAGCATAATGAGGTGTGAAATGAAAAAGAGAATAAACTGTTTTTTGGCAAGAAAGTAACTCTTTCGAATCCTGTGATGCAGTATAGGGTTTCTGTTTAGTGTGCAAGTAGATGATCCAAGGAGTTTGAAGTAATTGCTACATCTCCCAGGTCTAAATATTACTCATCAAGTTTCCCAACAAATCTCCTTGGGAAGTTTACATTTCTCCTTTTGAGTGTTTTTTTTTTTATTTTTTAATATAAGTTTCTGGAATTCTCATTTTTTGAGCCACACGTTTTTCAAATAATAAAGTTCAGAGAACACCGCATCCTCTCAAAGGCTAACCAAAGAGTTTGCCCATAAGCTCAACTCTGTTCTTAGCAGGCATTCTGAGAAAAACACTCATGCATACCAACGTAATGAGAGATGTTTCACCATAGTATCTGTTCCAAACTGTTGACACTAAGTTAGCGAAGTATTTATGAACACCAACATAACTTCTTCAGGGCCAATGCTTTGTGGCAGGGACTTGCTCTAAGGAATGTGCTTGTTATTGGTCTTTGGTAGTAGGTATGCGTTTTTGAAAGCTGATACTTTTACCCTTTGAGATATTTCAAGTATATGCTGCTTTTTCTTTTTTAACATGTGTCTGCTGTTGAGGGAAACTGATGCATTTCTTTTGTTTGAAAACCAGAAATCAAGGCAGCAAAACTACTCCTCTACAGTCTCACCACCGATCTAACAGCAAGGACATCCAGAATCTCAGCGTGGTTCTGCCCCGAGCTGACGAAGGCCTCCCTGCCAATGAAAGCTTCCTAAATGGAAACCTTGCTGGGGCTACCCTTAGTCCAATGCACAGCAAAAGCTACCAAGCAGGCACTCAGCCGGGGCCAGCCAGCAAAGATCTCACTAACAACAACATCCCACATCTTCTGAGCCCAAAAGATGCCAAGTCCAAAACAGAATTTGACTTTAACATTGATCCAAAGCCTTCAGAAGGCCCAGGCACCAAGTACCTCAAGTCCAGTAGTCGTTCTCAGCAAAACCGACACTCCTTTATGGAAAGCACCCAGAGCAAAGCCGGGACACTGCAGCCCAGTGAGAAGCAGAGCCGTCACAGCTATATCGACACCATACCCCAGTCCTCTAGGAGTCCCTCCTATCGAACCAAGGCCAAAAGCCATGGGGCACTGAGTGACTCCAAGTCCGTGAGCAACCTTTCTGAAACCAGGGCTCAGATTGCTGAGTCCAGTACCAGTAGGTACTTCCCATCCAGCTGCTTGGACTTGAACTCTCCCACCAGCCCAACTCCCGCCAGGCACGGTGACACAAGAACTTTGCTTAGCCCTTCGGGGAGAAATAACCGTAGTGAGGGCACACTGGACTCCCGCCGAACCACCACCAGGCATTCAAAAACAATGGAGGAGCTGAAGCTGCCGGAGCATGTGGACAGCAGCCATTCGCATTCACTCTCTGCACCTCACGAATCCTTTTCTTATGGGCTGGGCTATACCAGCCCCTTCTCCTCTCAGCAGCGTCCTCATAGACACTCCATGTACGTGACCCGGGACAAAGTGAGAGCCAAAGGCTTGGATGGAAGCTTGAGCATTGGGCAGGGGATGGCCGCCAGAGCCAACAGCTTGCAACTCTTATCACCGCAGGTACAGCTTAGCACTTTGGCGGGATCTGCTGGCTCCCCCTGGGAAGGTGGTACAGAGTGCGAATTGGGCCACTCTGCAGGTTTCCCTGTGGCATCCTTCATGGAGTGCAGTTAGGGAAGCAGTCATTAGAGTGCTTTCTGCTTTAAAAAAGTGCAGTTATTAAACTGAATTGCTGAGTGCTCAAGAGAGCTTAAAAGTTTATTTTTAGTAATTTTTTTTCCTTTGTAGAATGATCCTTTCTGGCATTTTTTATTGAGAGACTTATTTTGTTTTATTACTGTGTTCATAAATATATGAGTTCGTTTTTAGTTTTCACAAAATCCGGTGTTCCATGGATTTTCTGTAATCTCCAAACTGTATTTCCTAACTCAGACCTTGTTGTTAATGCCTTATTTTGTATCTTAACTGAATTTAATTATTTACAAGTTTTTAATTTATGCAGAACTATAGATAAGTTTAACTTCAGGCCAGGCTAAGTGTTAATTTTCTGTCTTTTGGGTTGTTTTTGAAATTTTGTGACAATAAGTTTAGCTTACAGCAACCTGCTTGGAAGAAGTAACATTCATCCAGTAGAACATAGCTTAGTCGTGTTTTCGTGGTTGTGGGTGAAGGCCTATGCCTAGCACTGGTGCAGCATGTGCATCTAGCATGCTTTGCATATTCTGCTGCGATGGTGGTAGAGGCTGTAGAATATTCCTCCACCTAGAGTTCTCAGGTATTCAAAAGGGTCTGAGATAGGCCTCTTGCCCTTGAGAAACTTAGCATCTCTCAGGGAAGATTACATTCTATGTGGCAAATAATTCAGACCTAACTTCATGTGCCATTGGCCATAAATAGGACATGAGAATGAGGAGAGGTCACGGCGAACAGGAGCAATCAGGAATGACTGTAAGGGCACCTGGGCTGCAGGCTGTGGGCTCAGAGGTCCGGGCAAGCTCTGGCAGGCAGGCAAGCGGATGTGTGTTCAGGCATGGCCGGAGAGGCCCTGTTTTTCTGGAGCTAATGGGCTCGTGTAGGACATGGCCAACGGATTAGTCATTGTGCTGTGAGACCCGTGGCAGTCGCTGTGCCGTTCAGGAAGCAGTGGTGGAGGATACTCAGAGGAGATCGTGTCTGAACCGAAGCTTTCTAGAGGGTTAGGATTTACTCAGGTAAGGAAAGTGATGGTGACATCAAAAAAGACCCTTGAAGGGAGGGAAGAAACGGGCATTGCAGGGAGGATGTGGGGACATGAAATAGCAGAGTGTGTTTTGCAGATTGCTGGAGTGAAAATGCAAGCTCTGGAGTGGCTTCTCAAGTAATCAAGGCATGATGTGAGGGGAGGGTGTTGTGGATTAAACAAATGTCAATGTAAACACAAAGTGGGTCGGAAAGCATACCTCCCTGAAGGTTCCTGATCTCTGATCTCAAAAGCTAAAAATGTCAGGCCTGATTAGGACTGGTATGGGAGAAGTAGAGACAGTAGGATTTGTGACTTGAAGGACTGAATGGAGGAAAAAGAAAAATTGGACACTTTTTCCTATGAGTTGGTTTTCAGAATTCAAGAGAACATTTTGAAGTTACCTCATTCAAGCCCTGCATTTCCCAGATGAGCATGCTGGGGCTAAGAGTGAGGCTAGGTGAAGGTAGAACTGGGCTGTAAGGCAGCCTGCAGGTGCTGCAGCCTGGCCCTGCTGGCGTGTCGAGGTTGAGGGCACCCCAGGCCTCCAGGCAGAGGTGTGCTCTCAGAGGTGGGAAGGCCCATCCAGCACCAGGGCAGAGTGGAGAGGGCCAGAGATGCCTACCTGAGACAAGTATGGGCGAGTCAGGGGGCTCCCTGGCAGTCATTGCAGGGAGGAGAGACCCTGTAGAGCCTAGAAGGATCTCTGGAACCTGGCAGCTGTCAGGGACAGGAGGTGGAGGTCAACGCTAGCTAGGCATGCTGTCAAAGAGAAGATGTAAGAAAAACTAAAGGCTGTTGAACTCAGAAAAAGGACAAATGTCTAGCTCTCTTCTGAGAATTCCAGAAAAAGGACTTTTGTGAGCATGGTGATCATAAGCTAATTAGAAGCAATTACTGTGGGCTGGGAAGACATCTAACCATTAACTAAATGTGAAGTCCAGTGCAGTAGGGAGAATGCTGACCTGTAAGAAAATGCAAGCTCAAAAGTTCAAAGAGAATGACAGGCTTCGAAACCTCTGAGCAAATCAGAGAAATTGGTCTTACACAAAGTATTGTGGCTGCCTTCAAAGGCACAGGTTAGATGGAAATAACTTGTTTATTAAAAATACTTTTAAAAATTTTGTTTAAAAGGCAGAGAGTCAGAGGGAGAGAGAGAGCGCCAGAGATCTTTTATCTTCTGATTTATTCTGCAAATGCCTGCAACAGCCAAGGCTGGGCCAGGCCAAAGTGAGGAGTCAGGAGCTCAATTCAGGTCTCCTTGTGGGTGGTGGGGACCCAGGTCCTTGAGCCACCACCTGCTGCCTTCTAGGATGGGCACTAGCAAGAAAGTGAAATTGGAATGCTGTAAGTGGATTTGGGCACCCCAAAAGGGTGAACAATTTGGACAATTTGTTTAGTAGAATACTTTGATTGAGGCCTTTGTGAGCATCGCAGATGGTGAAAGTCAAATGAAGTGTTGGCAGAAGAAAGCCTGCACTATACGAATCCTTGCTCAGCATCTTCAGAGTACATTTGAGAAGTGAGGGAAGAAAGACGGGATAGTATTTTTAATTTAAAAAAATATCCTTGATAAATCACATAGGCTTAGGAATAGTCTATGTGTAACATATGGATGCACATAGCCACTGACTCTTCTTGATGTCTTGTTCCTTAATCTCTTTCTCTAGCGATGGGAAGATCCCCATTTCCCCCATTCAGGGAGCATCACTGTTGGCTAGGTGCCATTGTCAACTTGTGAGTGACTTGCTTAAGCGAGCTGGGTAGCTGCAATGAGCAGATGAGCACTCTCCCCATTATGGCTCAGAAAATTCATCTCTTAGCCTAAAGAGGCTTGAAGACTTAAGCACATGAACTAAAATACTTGGCACATTTTCAGACAAAATGATCAGGAGGACTTAGCCCATTCTTTGGTACACTTAAACATTTATTTTCAGCTTCAGCTGCAGCATTACGTCCTTCACAAAAATGCTATTGTGTCTGCACATTCCATTTGGGGAAACTTCACCCGCCATCAGCTAGAAAGATTTGGGATTAGCCAATATCCTCCATAATCAGAGTACTGCCCTGAACCATGGTCATCTAGGTATTAGGAAGATGGCTTTTCTTGTTTTTAATAAGTCGAACTTGTTTTTAATTAATTGAACTATTTTCAGACTGATTTCCCCTGATTGCCTTAAGTTCAGTGAGAACTTTACTTTTCATAGCTATGAAATTTGTTTGACTTAATTTTATATTCCTCCGATGTTTCATTCTTTATGGGACAATGTATATTTTAATCAGTCTTTATGAAATAATTTGTATTTTAGCCTGCTGCCTTTTTTAAAATTTTAGCTGGTTCAGGTGCCACTTACACCAAATAAAAGCCATGATGATTTTGTTGACAAGAGCAGGATACTGTTCTAAGTTCTTTTAAATTTGACTTGCAGCCTGGAGAGCAGCTCCCTCCAGAGATGACTGTAACCAGGCCTTCTGTCAAAGAATCCTCCAGAGAAGGCACGTCTTCATTCCACACACGGCAGAAGTCTGAGGTGGGAAGGTTTCTGCATTGCTACAGTTTGTGTTAAGACATGTCCTTAAAGACTGTTCATCTTGTATCATTATAGCCTAGCTTGTAAGCTTTATTCATGCCCAGTCTTCCCGAAATAAGTTGCACTGGCTTGTAAAGTAAGCTGGTTTTGCCGTGGCCGGATATTCAGGTTTCTTTTTAAAAAAGATTCACCAGTGGATGATAGATTGATTAGGCCCGTTCTTACTTTGCAGGCCATATTGTCTTTGGTCTGTGGTTTGACTTACATAAAATTGTTTCCTGGCGCAGGGTGGAGTGTATCATGATCCACACTCTGATGATGGCACAGCCCCCAAAGAAAATCGGCACCTGTACAATGACCCTGTTCCCAGAAGAGTTGGTAGCTTTTACAGAGGTAAGATCACTGCCCCCACACTCACCAGGGGCCTCTCCTTTCTTTCCATTTGTCCCCTTGCCTGAGCCCTCCACTGCCTCATTGCCCTGGCTTCAGATCAGCAACATTGTTACCCATATGGTGGCCTTCCCACAGTTGCCCAATGTTTGACACCACTGTCATTGCTGTGGTCCTCCTGGCATCCTTTAAACTAGGGTGCCCGGTCCCCAAGGTCCCCATCAGAGCAGTCGCAGGGATGGTTCTTCTGAAGCTCTGGTCTCATCATACCACTCATTGATTCTGTAAAGTCTTAGAGCACATGCTATATTCGCCCATATGCTTGGCATTATTGTAGCCTGGAACATGGCAATGATCAAGACAGCCAAAGATCCCCACCCTCGCAGAGCTTATATTCTCTGCGGGGAGAGATGCTGAGTCAATGTAATCATTCTAGAAATCAAAGATGATAGAAGTGCTACAGGGGGATAAATAAAGCATACAAACCCCATGAGCCTACACTGTGTCGCTCTAGCCCTCACCCGTTGAGAATCCATTGCTGGCTTTCCATTGGCATCAGGACAAAACTGGAATTTGCCAAGATGACATCTGGTCCTGACCATCCTGTCCAGCTGATACCCATCCTTCCCTCCACACAGGTTGTGCCCTCCTCTGACCGGAAATGTTTTTCCCTCTTCCAGGACAGCTTCTCTCTGTTCATTTCTTTAAGGCACGCTCCTGTGGCCTTCCCCAGCCAGCCCAGACTGAGAGGAACCTTTCCTGCTCTGAGCTGCCATGGTACCTGGCCTGTGCCCCTTGTAAAGCACTGACCTTGTCACACTTATTCTTTGCATGTTCCTCTCCAGGTTGTGAGGCCCTCAAACGCACGGATTTCTCTTCACCTTCTCCTCTTTGCCCTCTTGTTGGCTAGCTCACTGCCTCGTGTCATTGCACAAAGCTGTTACTTGGTAGTTGAATGAAAAAAATCTCATGTGTTTGCCCAGCCTGAAAAACACACTTTAATATTTAGCAGATGACCACAGCTGGTGCTTTGGGGGTTGTATGAGCTTTAGAGACACTGCTTGAGAAATAACTGTATAGTAGACCCTAAAGCCCTTAGGAACCCCAAGACCCTGGGGGGAATTGGATAGCAAGCCCACAGGACAAGAGGAAGGCTGTGGTGGCTTGATGAGGAGGCTCCATTTTGAAAAGCTTCTGTAGTCACCTGTGCCCCTGTGGTATGACTTCTCACTAGTTCTGTCGTTTAAAGATAGCTGAAAAGGGTCCTGAATGGAGGGGGACTGGGGAATACCTAAAAGATTGCTTGATCATTTTAATTCTGAACCTGAGCTAACTCCAAGAAGTGTGACTCAAGACTGATGTACATTAACCAATCAGAACATTCTCACCCTCCCAGCCCAACCTGTGGGGAAAGCATACGGCTTGGAATGTGCTTTGTAATGCATTCATTTATTTATTTCAGATACTATGATTATGGGGCTGAACTTTTAATTTATGTTTAAGTCAATTAACATAAAATGCTTGTAGTATACACTATAAACATTTTCTTCTATCAGCTATGGTTTTCTTGTAAAATGTGCTATACATTTGGTATTCCTGTAGATGTCTGGGGAATATATTTTAATATAAAATGCTAGTAGAGTTTTAAATTAATTAGTCTTAAACCTCTGGAAACACAGTTTTATTTTGATTGCAAGTGATTTGTACTAGGTAATGGCAGAGAAACAGCCCATTGGTCTACCTCGTAATCCACTTCAGGATTTGGCAGGTAGAATATTTTAATTTTTAAGAATTCACAAATAGTGGTCAGCACTGTTGTGCAGTGGGTAAAGCTGCCTCGTACAACACCAGCATGCCATGTAAATGCCGACTGAGTCCTGGCTGCTTCATTCCAGTACATCTCCCAATGTGGGAAAACCCAGATGAAGTTTCAGGGTCCTGGGTTTGGCCTGACTTCAGTAGCCATTTGAGAGTGAACCGGCAAATAGAAGCTCTCTCTCTTTACTCTGCCTTTCAGATAAATAAATAAATAAACCTTTTTAAAAATCCTCAGAAATGGTTTAACTAGATAAAAAAATATCTGGGGCCCAGTACAGTAGCCTAGTGGCTAAAATCCTTGCCTTGCTTGTGCCAGGATCCCATATGGGCACTGGTGGATACAAACCAGTGCCCATATGGAATCTGTTTCCCATCCAGCTGTCTACTTGTGGCCTGAGAAAGCAGTAGAGGACAGCCCATAGCCTTGGCGCCAGGTACCCACGTGGGAGACTCAAAGGAAACTCCTGGCTTTTGATTGGCTGAGCTCCAGCCATTGCGGTCACTTGGGGAGTGAATCAACAGATAGAAGATCTTCTCTGTCTCTCCTTCTTTCTATATATCTGCCTTTCCAATAACAATAAATCTTAAAAATAAAAATCTGGAGACATCTACTGTTTCAGTACCAGTAAGTCTCAGAGGACAATTAAGTGGCATCATTGAAATGCCATATTTTCATCCTACTGATCAAAAATCAAGTGAATTAGTTTCATTTATCGTGATATATAGTACTATTCTTTCTATGATGAAATTTAGAATATGCCCTGATTTATAACCAGGCATAGAAATTGATAGAAAATGTTAGTGGCCACCCACTCCTTAAGCAGAGTTTTTACTTCTGTACAACATAGTTTACTTTTCTGTTTATTTTGTTTTTGAGATTTATGAATTTATTTTTTATTTGATGGTGGAGTGATAGAGGTAGGGAGAAAGGGAGGGAGGGAGGGAGCGAGAGAGAGAAAGAGAGAGATTGGTCGATCTTGCATCCTCTGGTTCACTCCCCAAATGGCCACATTGGTCAGGACTGGGTTGACCAACGGGAACCAAGAACTTCATTCAGGTCTCCCACATAGGCAGGCAGCAGGGACCCAAGTATTTGGCTCATGTTTGCTGTCTTACCTATGTACATCAGCAGGAAGTGGAACAGCTGGGACTCAAGGGGGGAGGGTGCTCCAGTACAGGATGCAGGTATTGAAAGCAGTGGCTTAACCTATTGTGCCACACCTCCAGCCCCTCTATTTGTTTTTGAAACAAGACTTCAAAGGAATAGTTGTTGGGGGCAAATCACCAGATTTCTTTGTAATTTTATTTACAACATTTTTTGAGTGATGCTGTCTTTCAAGCATTAGTGCTTTAAACTGGGGCTTGTACCTTCCAGCACCCATATTATTGAAAATTATTTCAGGCTAAGAATAGATTTTGCTTGGTTGCATCTACAAGAAAGCCTTCAAAAAATGTCAGAAGAGTGGCAGGTGTGGCAGCCAGGGCAATGACATTCATCCTTTATGTTCTCCGGTTTATCAGCTGACAACTCAGGTAGATGTTTAAATACCTGTTATCTGGAGTTAGCTGACCCTCCCAAGTTAATGTAGAGCAGTAGGAAAGAATGTTGCCTAGAATGCCTCCACTCTCAGCAAGCACAGAAGTAATAGCAAAGACAGATGAGCACTTGAGCTATCTGTACTAGAGAAAAACCAGTGGAATAATACAAGAACTGCTTTGACCTAAATTATACAAGAGGGACTTATTTTTCTTCATTCAGTGCCATCACCACGCCCAGACAATTCTTTTCATGAAAATAATGTGTCAACCAGAGTCTCTTCCCTACCATCTGAGAGCAGTTCTGGAACCAACCATTCAAAAAGACAAACAGCATTTGATCCATGGTGAGTATTTTGGTTTCATTTTACTCGTCTTTTTTCCAGCTTTAGATTTGAGAGTTCAAGGAATTTGTACCCAAGCTTCTGAGTGCTCCTTCTCCTGTTAAGCTTTCTTTTCTCAAGAGCAATAGTTAGGTCAGAAAATGTGACTTCACATTTTTGCAAACCTTTTTAAGAATAACATTTATATTAAATGTTGTATAAAATTCTTAAAAACCCTCCTGGATCAGTAAATATCAGATAAGTCTTCCCTTTCAGTTTTTGAGCATAAATAATGGCTTTTGAGGTATACTTTTATTGAGCTTGACCTCCACATAGACATGTTGCCTAGCATTTTATATGCGTTGTCTCAGTCAGTTTTCATATTTGAAATAGGGGTTACTTCTATTCCACAAATGAGGAAACTGAGACCTAGAAAAGTCAAGGGGTTTGTTTGGTGCTGCATAGCCTGTAATGTGGAGGAAGGACCCAGGACTCAGATCCAAATGTGTTTGGACTCCAATGCCACCTAGAATTTACCTCAATGCCATAAAAGCATAATGGTGGTTAGAGGAATAAAGGATGTGGGAGGTTATCCTTTCACCTTTCTATGTGTCAAGTTTTATGTAGCGTATGAAGACTTTTCTACCTGTACTACTACTGTGACTACCTACCACCTGTCATCTAGACATGAGAGTTGTCTATGTGCAGTTCATAAAACTTGACTAAGTTCTCCATCAAGAGAATGAAATGAAATATCATCAAATGTAGACTAATACTACCCTGTTCGTGTCCTTCCCTGTGTTTGTTGCCAGGACTTTGTGTTAGTGACCTTTATAGGGTTAGATTGAGGTTTTAGTGTTATTGTGCCCTATTGTGAAAATTAATTCTTAAAAACAGCAATAAAAATGACATTTCAAAAACTATAAACATGCTTGTTCTATATATGCATACTTTGTATCCAATACCTTTTTAAAAAATGATTTGAAGGCAGAGTTAAGGAGAGAGAAAAAGAATCTTCCATCTCTTAGTTCATTCCCCAAATGGCTACAATGATCAGGATAAAGTTAGGCTGAAGCCAAGAGCCAGGAGCTTCATCCCGGTCTCTCACATGGGTAGCAGGATCCAAGGACTTGGGCCATTTTCCCATTTCATTCTAAGACACATTAAAAAGGAGCTGTATCAAAAGTGGAGCAGCCAGGACTAGAACTTGGCCTATATGGGATCCCAGCATTGCTTCATCCACTGTGCCACAATGCCAGCCCTGGTCTGTTATCTTGCCCCCCAATACTATTTGTGTTGACAGACCCAGCGTGGTGGCCTAGCAGCTAAAAGTCTCCACCTTGAATGTGCTGGGATCCCATATGGGTGCCAGTTCTAATCCCGGTGGCCCTGCTTCCCATCCAGCTCCCGGCTTGTGGCCTGGGAAAGCGGTTAAGGAGAGCCCAAAGCTTTGGGACCCTCCACCCACGTGGGAAACCTGGAGGGAGCTCCTTGGCTCCTGGCTTCAGATCAGCTCAGCTCCAACAGTTGCAGCACTTGAGAAGTGAACCAACAGTTGGAAGATATTCCTCTCTGTCTGTCCTCCTCTCTGTATATCTGACTTTGCAATAAAAATAAATCTTTTTAAAATATAGTGTTGACATTAACGATTAACGATTCGAACTCTGAAATGCAGTATCATGATTAACACCAACTGTTAGCCATTTTATCAGTTCCCCTGGTTTCCTCATTAACTTCCTTCATAGGGTTCATATGACAATTGAAATAATACGCAAAACACACCCAGGACAGGGCATGGCACTGCAAGCCCTCATTAATGGTAGTTGGCAGTGCTGTTTGCGTTCAGCCCAGATGTTGAGAGATGCCAGCCTCCCACATTGCAGTACCCGGATTTGATCCCCACCTCCATGTCCTGAATCCCAGTTTCCCTGCTAATGCAGACCATGGGAGCTGATAGTGACAGTCCAAATTATTATTGGATCCTTGCCACCCACATGGCAGACCTGGATTAAATTGATTGCTGGACTAAGTCTCAGTTCTGTCATGTTGTAGGCATTTGGGGCATGAGCCTGTAGATGGGAACTCACTCCCTGTCTGCCTATCAGATAAATCAGTTGATAAAAATGTTAGTGGCTGCTGTTGGTATTTATGTTATCTCACTTCAGTACAACTAGTCCCTCCATTTGACTTTACTGGCAAACTGTGGCCTGCTCGTCCTCCTGGTGACTATTTCATCCCCCCAGCATGTACCTATGCATTAACCCAACAGCATAGCTGTAGTTCCTCTTAGCTACCAGTGTCGACTCTTTTCAGGTGTGACTTAAACAAACCCTGGAAGTAGTGTCTAAACGTGACAATACAGACAGACAGAAGGGGTTGGGTTTCTCATGGTCATTGCATAAGGAGGTGATGATTTAAAAGGCTAGCAGTTACAAACTAACATAGCCCTGTGAAAATCAGGTAGATAAGAGCAAAAATCAAATCCATATGTGGCCAAGCATTATTAGTAACATACTATTTCTGTCTTTTTAATAATCATTTTCAGTAGAATTTGTTTACTCATGAGTATGTGTAGAAACCTCAAAACAGCTGTTTTAAAAAGCATCAGAGGTGCAATCGGGATGTTGAACTTCATCCCAGTCTTTATCAGATTGTCCTTATTCTAGTATTGCTGCGATGAGGCTTGAGAAAGTTACAGGACTGTCAATGATGAATTGATCCTAATCTTTTGTACATACTACCTCTGATGATAATTCTATAACACTTCTTCAGGTATGACATTGATTTTGTCTAGGCCATTAATTAAACTTGACACACCTGGATTTTTGTATAAGATCTCATATTGGTTGTTCATAGTCTATATATGAGAAATGCACATTTGATAACTCTTACAAAAGCGCAAAAGACCCTTGCTATGGTGACATGAGTTGCCATTTCTAAATTAGCATGTAACCTGAGGAAACTCTGCTTCTCGTTGATGGCAGGAAGAGAATATTTATACATTGTGCACTGTTCTAGCAATGGAAAAAATCAAACTACTGTGTCATATTTTAAAATGCTAAGTAGATATTATAGTATAGTACCCAGAGCTGTTATTTTGGCCACCTCAACTATCTCATCTAAGAGTCCACTTAAGGACTGGGAGATATACCAAAAATACCTCAGCAATGAAAATAGACGTATTGAGTCACATTTATCATCTTTATGGTAGAATGACACTTCCACCCTCACTCAGATTCTGTCTGTTCTTTTATGCTCAGTTCTAGCATTTGGCACTGAGGTTGTGAGGACAAAAAAAAAAAAATAGTGCCAACTAAGAATACAATGTACAGAGGGAGAATGAGCCCAGGAAGGAGCAGAGTGGCAGGTGTTTCTGTCTTCTCAATCCTATGGCGGGAAAATCATACACATCACAGATACGCATGTAGAGTATATAGTTATAGAATAAAAGGCTTTCATTTTGCTTAAAAAAACAAAGTAAATAAACCATTTAGAAAAGCTTTAAAATTGATGCTTATGCAGTAAACTGAATTAATTTGAAATCCCCATAGTTCCAGTGTCTGAAGAATTGCTGTAGTAACTCGCTTGCAAAGTTCAGCTTTCTTCTTACAAAGTGATGACTATATTGGTGTCTGTCAGTGCTTGCTCCCATAACTTAAGAATTACTGCATAAAATTATCTGTTGACTCTATTCTCATACACTGGCTAACTAACCTAGTTGCATTACCAGAGGAGGGTTGGTAGCGGCCTAAGTATCGTAGAATAAGGCCCCCCATCTCTTCAACTCACCTTCCACTGCACTTCCAGTGGATTATGCTACTTAAGTCCCAGCCTTGCAAGTCTAATCTCACTGCCTATTTTGTCCCTAGCCATCAAATTTCTGGATCCTATACTGCCCCCCTTTCTGTGAGTGGGTTAAGTGTATGTTTGAATATTCTTTGTCTCCAGCACCTGACACTGGGACTGGCACTTGTAAAGCACTCAGCCCAAGTTGATTGACTCTAAGCGTGAATTCATTCCTGTATTGAGTCTTTGGAATTCCGCCTTTCTCTTTGGCCTTCTTGAAGTACCTGTTGTATTAGATGAGAGTGTTCTGAGTGGGAAGGTGCCAATTTACACCCCTCGTGGCCTGCCCCTTCCCGTCCCGCCCCCCCCAACTGTTCGGATCCAGCTGCTGTCCCAGATCATGGGCCAGTAGACTGATCGAGTGGTCATTCTTTAAGCTTCCAGTCCTGAGATTTATGCAAATCACCTAGTTTGCCCTTCCCCAGTGTAACTTCTTTTTTGCTTGCTCAGCACACAGCTGATGGCAGTACCAGGTGAGGGTGCAAGTGCAGGAGCCAGCACATGAGGCAGGCAGAATGACCCCCACACTCCTGTTTAGTGCAGTGCTGTTTATCTGTGCTTGAAGCCCCTTCTTCAATCCTTTATCCACCCCACAGCTTTTCAAGTTCCATCCCTCTGCCTCATCCATTTGCACACCTTTCTCCATTCTAGTTCTTTGTTAATTCTCTGGGCATGAGTATTTCTGTGTAGCTTCTCCCTTGCTTTGTTTTTTCTGTTTGTGTGTCTCCCTTGCTTTACTCTCTCTACCTCACTTGCCTTTGTCCTTTGCAATGAAGCCATACCCACTTGACTCCTAGCTTCACTGCTCTTGCTCAAGGGTAATCCATTACCTTTTTTCTTTTGGCCTCTATGATCTTTTCCTGCTGGATCTTAGCCCCTCCGTTTATGCTCAGTTGCAGCTTAAAAATATTTTCTTACCACCCTTCTTGCCCTACTAAGGTTCTAATGTGCTCAGTGCCTCTGAAGAGAGCAATCTGAGAGGCCCATCAACCCTGTGTTTGGGGGGACCCCAGCACTACATCACCCACACTGCAAACACTGAACTGATTTTCCTGCTCCTTTTCTTTTTCATCTTATTCTCTGCTTCATTCTGAGTAGACTTTCCTCTTCCCACACAAAATCCAGCATACCTCCAAGGACTGGCGACTCAAGGCTTCACTTGCTGTGGTGCCACATTAGCATTCTCACAGCAATGCGTCCACCTCAGAGATATGCTGGGCTGGCAGAAAGCACTCTTACCCTCAACACACCTTTGGCCTTTTACTCGCTAATTGGGCTACTGTGTTTCCTAGGTTATATGCAAGTGCCGTTATGGAAGGGTGTTAGCTGGATCCTAATGTAGAATCTTCCACTTCTGAACATTACAGAATGTTGATAGTATTACTGGTTGTACTAGATACTCTCTGAGGCTCCTTTCCATCTAAGGAGTTGTGCTTTTGTGGTTCCAGTGAATCCCTACAATTCTACTGTGGGCCCTAGCACCCACAGTGAACGCTGTGGCCTAATGCTTCATTTATTACAGTCCATCTTTAGGTCCCATACAAGAGGTTTTTCATCTTCTTAGTCCCCAAAATACCTGCCCTAAGAAACTTTGACCAGATTCTTTGGCCTGGTCTATCATGGGCACAGCAGTGTTTTTCCCAACAGTTGAATATTGTGTGTGAAGAATTCTTAACTTTTTATCATGATATTCTCACCCATTCCATCATGTTTGTTTGAAATGTTCTGACTTTTAAAATTGTGTGGTGTTCTGAGTTCCAGCATTAGTTACTTCATTGACTGTTGAATTGTAAACCTTGTACTTCCTTTCTCAGTGATGTTTAAGTTGAAAGTTACAATGAGTTTCAGGAACACTTGGACCTGTAGTGCATGTCCTTACTTCCGTGATGGTCTCCCAAGAACAAGAAATGAGTGTTGCTCCTTCAGTTAGTCAAGGCTTTGACTTCCTGTTTTCTGTTCTCTGCCTCATCTCTCCTCCTCTCCCAGCTTTCCTTTGCTTTTTGGTTTTCAAAATGGATTTGATGTGATTTATAAAACCTTTTTATTGTATTTGTAGTAGATGTTTGTTACTGAAAGTTAAAAGAAAATCATGAATCAGTAATTCTTCCTACCAACTTACAGCTATTAAGACTTTATTTTCCACCTTTTAAAAAATGTACACACACATACCTATACATGTATGTACCTGTGTATGTATCTGTATGTACCGTGTTTTATAAAGTTGGGCTCATCCCCATGTAGAAAATTCTGAATCTTGGCTCTTTTCACCTAATAATATTGTAGTTGGAATATTCTTTCATATCAATGAGTGTGCTTTAAAGATGTGATGTAGTTTTAATATTTTCTATCATATGGGTCTGAAAAAAAGTTTGTATATTTTCCACCTTTATACATATTTAATCAAGTAAAGGCAGGATGCCGCTTCACTCATATTTTCCTAGATATTCTAGTAACTTCATTACTATTAAAATCTTCTGAAGCCATAAATCTGAATTGGATCACTTTTAACATTTTGACCACTTGATTTTAGGAAATAGCTAATCAATGAAATCCATTCACTTGAGAAAATGGCTTTCTACTTTTTTTTCCTCAAGAGTAACAGCAACTGAGTTGCTTTTTAAAATTTAGGTCAAATGAAATAATATAGATGTCCCTTTAACACCGGAAGTGCCCAGCTTGATAGAGCCCGGTCCTTTTTTCTGTCTTTTAATGTCTTCTTTTTTATGAAGATGTCTGGTGGTGTTGGCAGTGCTCAGCTCACTGACAGTATTTTCCTTTTGAAATTGTTTGTTCTTTTTTTCCATGAGTGCCTTGTGTGAAATCATTCAGGCTGTCCGCACTTCTAAACTTTTAATTTCATTTTAATGAATAGATAAAAGGCTTAATAAATAGGAGTTTTCCAGTTTCAGATAATTTTTACTTGTAGTTATGATGTTTCCCTAGCAGCACTGATTTTTAGGTTCAATATTTTGGCAGGCCACTAGTAATAATCATACGGAGCTGGTTTCAAAGAGGGTAAATAGAAAAATGAAGGTATGGAAACTATCTTCTCTTTCTCTCAGAGGGTTACTGAAAAAGCATCCTTTAAGCCATGCACTTTTCCGAATACCAGGTTCTGAGGTTTGCAACAGCAGGGGAAAATGGTCCTGCAGCACAGTTACAGATCATTTGCAGTAATGCGCAAATTGCTAGTTTGGGCGAGCCAGTGCCAAAGGATAATCATTAAGCACAGTTGATTAAATTCATTTCCTCCTGTGCTGTTTTAGAGGCTCTTTACCTGTGCGGTTGGCTCCCAAGGGCTACCTGCTCCTGCTGTCGGGCCTTTCCGGTCTTTCTCACGATGGCAGGAAAGTGATTGAAAAGAGCAATGTGATCAAAATGTCTTCTCCTTTAGGAAAAGTCCTGAAAACATTAGTCATTCTGAGCAACTCAAGGAGAAGGAGAAGCAAGGCTTTTTCAGGTCAATGAAGAAGAAAAAGAAGAAATCTCAAGCAGTAAGTACATTACTGTGTTCTGTATGTGATGGGTGTGGTTCTGTGTTGTTCTGTGGGGTCTAACATCCTACACATGACAATCAAAGTGAATCCTCCTATTGAGATTTGACATGCATAGGTTGTATATGTCTCTGAAGTTCTGTACAACTGTGCTCCTCTTACAGTCTTTTCTACATTCAGCAGAAAATTTCCAGGAATAGAAGAAATTTCATTTGGATAAGAACACTTTAAGCTCTTTAAATAAACTTTGTGTAGATTTATGCTCATATAAAAACCTATGAAGATACAGGATTTGTTTCTGTGGAGGCTTAAGGTTACATAAAAAGTTGGGAAATGGTCTTGGTTTACATTGAAATCTTGAAATGCAAAAGTAATCACTGTTCCTACTTAGTTTCAGTTGTATGAACACAGAGAAGATTGTGTCAGACATTTCAGGGCTGGCTTTAGGAAAACACACCTTCCCTGTGATTGCACTGGGAGAAGCCCTGGGCCTTGTTTCTTGGGAGCCTTCTGCCTGAACACAGGGCAGACCATGTGCCTCCCTTCACTGAGCCACCCCAGCAAGGACTCTGCTGCTAGTGACGTGAGCTAACGGTCACTTCCTTGGCTTTCTGACACCTTCCGGATGAGGCAAGGTTGAGTTGGCCATTTTACATGTGTGTTTCTAGTTGCACTTCATACATGATTTACTCTAATCTATTTGAAGAGGAAAAAGCCGTAACCAAAATGGCCCGTTCAGATGCAGTTCACTGATTTCATCTGTAATGAAATTTCATTACAGATATGAATATGAATTTCCATAATGAATTTCATCTGGACTCTGTTTCTGAGGCTCCTTAGTAACATTCTGAGTGGTTAGTAACAATGAGGGGCAAGATAGTGACAAAGTCTAGAATAACCCAAAGTGGGGATTTTTATCTTACACATGTTCTAGCAATGCTAACCTTTCCAGATTACCTTTCAAGATAATTCTTTCATTTTCTTGTTTACTAAATTTATAGATTCTATTATGAAATATCAGCTCATTATAGAAAAATTTAAAGTATTTGTTTTTAATCTTAACATCCTATCACAACTAGTATTGGGATTTGAGTATGTTTCCTTCTACCCTTTAAGCCTGTGCATGTGTTTGTGGAAAGAAGATGGGTTTCTCTTTGGGGGGAAGAACATTCTTTGAGTTTAAGTAATGATTCCCATGCAATTTTGTATTTTAGCTTTTAACAGTCATATATATATATTACTATACAACCTTTATAGTCTTCAATTTATGGCTGCATGATCTTAAAATAGTCCTTTAAAAAAAACTGAAGCTCAGTTAAAATGTGAAATCAAAGTGCCATTACGTTAAATATGACTACATTTGTTGCTTAGAGTTGCTGAACAAATCTTTGTAGACATGAATTAATCTAGGAAAGCTTAAAGTATTTAGGATGCTAATAATACAAAGCAGTAGAATGTATTTCTCCATTTGCTCCTGACCACTGTTATTTTTATTTCAAGGTTTCTATTCTTAACCACAGGTCTACAGCCATTATGAGGTGGTCAAGTGTTAGAAAGTAGTAAGAGTAAAGGAATTGAGAGTGTTTCTGTATTACAGGCTTAGGTTTTGGTGTCTGTCTGCCTTCAGCCAACATTAGCCATAAAGCCACCAACTCACCATGGCATGAGTATAGTATATGAGCGTATGATTTGGTTCCAGTTCTGTGTAAATGTTACAGATTAGAACACATAAGGAAAGTGCTGTTCCATAACATCCTTTCCACTTGATGTTTTTATTAAGTTTTCATCAGTTTCATCTTTATGTGCAAACGAACAGGCCATAATGTCTTAATTCTTCCAACCCCCCAAAATTGCTTGCACTTTTGCTTTTTTTCCTTTCATTAAAAGAAAACCAGAAGAACTTTGGGATCTAGAGTCAGATTTGCAGAATGCTCAGAACAGCCTGTGTTCTTCATGCGTTTAAATATAATTAATTAATTTTCATTTTTTAGAACTTGCCAAAAATTTTTTAAAAACATTGTTTTTTTAACATTTATTTTTATTGAAAAGTCAGATTTACAGAGAGGAGATACAGAAAGATCTTCTGTCTACTGGCTCACTCCCCAAGTGGCTGCAACAGCTGGAGCTGAGCCAATCTGAAGCCAGGAGCCAAGAACTTCTTCTGGGTGTCCCATGTGGTTGCAGGGTCCCAAGGCTTTGGGCCATCCTCGACTGCTTTCCCAGGACACAAGCCGGGAGCTAGATAGCAAGTACAACAGCTGGGACATAAACCATATGGGCTCCTGGCTCATGCAAGGCGAGGATCTAGCCACTAGGCTATTGTACCAGGTCCAAACTTTGAAAGATTTAAGACATTGTAGCCTTTGTATAAAATAAACAAAAATTGGAATCTGATACCCACTGAGCAAAGAGAAGTGTGACATTTTAAAGTGGAGGTGGATCCTGTATGTTGTTTAATTGCTTTGCTTTACCAGGACAGGAATTTGCATCCAAGCAAATTTTGAGCTTTCAAAAGTCACACAGTCCAGTGGGAGAGCTAGTGCTGTTTCCCTGAGTACCGAGCCCCTGCGAAGTCTGTGCTGTAGAGAGGCTCCAGGAACTCATTTCTCAACTCTGGAGCAGTGGCAGCTGGATTTCTTCCTGGGGTTCTTGCCATCAGAACAGGAAAATCGTGGGGGATTTTACTCAAATGTCGTTATGCACACATCCGTAGATGAGCTCAGTACCTTCATACACATTCTAGTTCCCTGCCTATTGAAATATCCAAAGCAGGGAAAGTCATGCCCCAAAATAATTCCATATTGTAAAGGTGCCTGCTTTGACTGGAGCAGATTTGGAAGCTGCCTTAGGAAATCTGGCTTCAGCTGCATACTCAGAGTTACATAAGCCCTCAGAGCATATGGTGACTTTGCCAACTTGGTAATTATATCCTTGTTAGTATCTCAACTTGCAATGATGCTTCAGTTTAAAGATTGAACTTTCTGTTTCTTGACTTTCAAAACCAGTGTTTTGAGTTGTGCAGGGTATTTTCCACTGGGTAAATATATCTAGAAATGTGGAACAAGGCTTCTCACTCAATGTTGATCTCCCACAAGGTATATACCTCTTCCAAGTGATGTTTCTTGGTTTGAAAGTTGACCAAGCTTAAAAGGGTTTGCAATATCTTTTTTTCTTTTTTCACAATGGACAAATTACCTGGTAGATTTTATTTTAATTGCTAAAGTTCTCTGTAGTAATTAGGAAAAGATTCAAGTTCTTCAATAGCTCCCTGTACACAGTTCTTTATAGTCATCTTGTTTCGGATACTAAGTAGACTCTTAGGTGTTGTGCCATGCGTGTAGATCTGAGGTGCCCCTGCTGTAGGTAGCGACCATGACCATTTATACCATTCCATCCAGGTAAGAGATGACACGGAACCTTTGTGGGTATACCACACAGAGCTGTTTTTGTTGACTGTTAATATTTGATCATTTGAAGGCTTCCAAGAGCTAGTAGTTTCAATAAGAGCATTTTTTTTTTTTGCAATTAGTTTATTTCTATCTTATATTGCAGACAGATTCCACCAACGGGGAGAATCCAAGCATCAAGAAATCCCTCTTCCCTCTTTTTAATTCAAAGAATCATTTAAAGCATAGTTCTTCTTTGAAAAAGCTTCCTGTAGTCACTCCACCCATGGTACCCGTTTTTTCATATGGTAGCCCTGAAAACTGCGCCAGTAAACTTGTTTTACTGATGACACAGCATGTCTTATTTTCATGGGGTCATATTCTCTTTATGCTAGTTAAGTACCTGAGCCAGTTCCATAAATTCACTGAGATTTAAATCCTTCAACATTATGGACTTTCAGAATCACTTAAAAGATGATGAAGCATAAAATCTGTTAAACTAGTCAAAGGCTAGTTTGGACTGTCTGATTATCCAAATTGTCGACAGAGAGCATTCATAAAAGCCCATATTTCCTGTAAATCAACATTTACAGTTAATAAATGTCTTTGCATTTGGCTCACAAAGTTTAATACTTGGTTAGCAGTTTGGCCTTTTTTTAAAAAAAACAAAAACAAATTGAATTGACCAGCTTGCAGGCTCCGTTAAACAAACAAACAAATAAAAAAGCTCTTATTAGTTGTTGACTTGCTCCTTCCTTGCCTGGCTCTGACTTTTGCTGGCCACTAAGTGTGAAGCCATGGCTTTTGCGTGGCATTTGCCATTCCTTCCTTTGTTCACCAGAATAGGTGAATGAACCAACTGCATTCATTTGGAATTTGTGGTGCAAATTTCGAGCATTCTCCTAGTACATAACAGCAGACCCGGATTTACCAGATTTGGGAATATGATTCAAACCATACTTCCCTACTTTGCTTTCCTTGCAATCCTACTAGAGCCTTTGGTACCGCCAGATATGGTGTTTGGATCATTTTCCCAGGAGGAAAATACATTTTTGTTTTATTGAACTGGTTCATAACCTAACTGCAATATGGAATGAGGATACGACAGCAATTCCTGGTACCACCCAATTTAACTGCTCTCTCTTACAGCGACCAAAACTAACAGCATGGGAATGCTTTGAGGGTTGAGGTTTTTAACGAAGTTGCATGACACCTGCCAATTTTTCCTCATGCAGGGAAAATTATTAAGAGGGCAGCAAACTTGAACTAGCATTACCTGCATCCTGAACATGCAGAGAGTTTTGGTCTCCTTTTATACCAGACTTTATTATTTGTTTGAGTTTTGGTTTGGTTGGATTTGCTCTTTGGTTTGGGTCTTTTGGGTGTGGTTGCATATCTTGATTGGATTTACACTGGGCTTCTTGGTATGCTTTTTAAACCTCTATCCCTGTGTTCCTCTAGGTGCCCAATTCAGATGGTCCTGATCTTCTGACATTACAGAAAGCCATTCACTCTGCTAGCACTACAAGCAGCAGACCCAAGGAGTGGCGTCCAGAGAAGATCTCAGATCTACAACCCCAAGTGAGTGGGCCCAGTACCTCTCTCAGACTCTCTGTGGGGGCTTTTTTTTGTCAGCAGGCTGTATAATGGGATGATGGAGGGCTGGCTGTCCTAAAGGGAGGTCTGGGGCTGCTACTGGGGCTGACAGCAATGTTACAAGAACAAGAGCTCTCCTAAATGGACACTCACTGTTAGCCAAATACATCTTGGAGCCAGGATGAATCTTGCTTCTGTGACCCCTGTCCTGGGAGAAAAAACAAACCAGCAAGCTTCCATTAAGCTTCACTTAGCTGGTGAGGGGTGGGGTAAGGGGAAGGAGAAGACATAGTCCAGCGCTCAAATACTGTACACTGCAGGAGAGAGAGAAGATTTCTGAGGAGCTGCACCTCTTGATAAAAAGTGAGTCGTGCCATAAAGTGTTTGGGGAGATCAGCAGAGATGGTGGGAAGATGAAGTTTGTGGTGAAGGTGGTAGCAAACGAATTGGACCATGAAAGACAGATATGGTAAGCTGTATTGAAAGAAACTTTTAGCTTCTGAAATTCCTACTATTTTGGATAGAAAACACTCAGGCAGTAGTATTAGGAGTAAGATATTAGACAATATTGTAACAGTTGCATTTAGCTGCCACATGAAGGAATAAGCATAACTTGAATCAGTAAAATTCTCCCACCTTGAGGTTTATATCTGTTAAACTATTTTGGTTGGAAATGTTTTTAATACTGTGGGGTTTTTTCCAATTATCACATAGGAGCATAGTAGCATAATTGCCTTGTTTTAATCATATTCAGTGTCTTAAAATCTGTTAGGCCCATGTTTTGTAATTTCTGACATCCCTCATGAATTTTGTAGTCTGTAGAGTACTTGTACCTATAATTACCATAGGTGCCTGTGGTTGTGAAGATGGGGTCTACCTTTCTTAGATTTTCTATTTACTATCAGCTGTTTCTGAAGACTGCTGACAGGAATTCGTCAAATGGCCCTTCTCTATGCCCAGCCGTCGGTAGTTTCTTATAATCTGAGGAACAAGGGGAGCATAGAAAACCACATATCCAAGCCAAGGACGCGACTCTCTGTAAGCACCTGATGCTGTAGTCCTAACTCAAACAAAACAAAATAAACAAAGAAAGTGAAAAGGAACTTTGGCTTATAGAACATCCTTTGTGAAACAATTTCCTTATTCGAGAAGCTCCTTTTTAAAGTAACCTCATCTTCCAGCTGAGTCTGCATTATCACAATCATTCCATTAGTCCATGCCTTTAGTCAGGACTGTAAAAGGCACCAGGAGTCTCATTGTGGTAGCATACCAAACAAACATAGGAAGAAACAAAAACGATTTTAAAAAATGAAGAAGCTTTGGAACATGTAGAGTGCCATGTGACCCCCTGCGGACTCAGCGATTTCTTGGGAAGCTTGAAGTAGTAATGAAGGCTACTTCCCTAGGAGCAATTTCCATGTGGGTCAGTTCTCAAGCTATTCACCTTGAGGTTCAACGCTGTTCCTTCAATTTGTAAGTGTTCTTTCAGATCTTCAACACTTCCTTCAGATCTTGCCAAGCCTTTAAATGCATGCTGCTTACACTATAACACTCGGAAGAAAGGGCTGTAGCTAAGTGGCAGCACCAAGTGCCTTGCATGACTCTTCTCATAGTGATCTTTACACGCCCTGAGGTAGAAGAAGAGGACTGAGAAGGAAATGAACCACCTCTCACCACTGAGAAACTGAAAGCTCAGGAGTTGCCTGAGAATAGTGAGGCGCAAACCACCTGGCATCACTGGCCCTTCTGCCTGAAGCCAGCAGCCCTCTGCTGTGCAGCCCCCTGTGGGGCCTTTGGCCAAAAGCCACAATGGAAAGACATGCTGGCAGGTAGTACCACTATGGACCCTATTAAGAATTGAAGGCCTTTTGTGAATGCAGTATCATTAAAGTTCTGAAGGATCTTTGCTTGTCTCTCTGCACTTTGTATTCTTAATGCTGAAACCACACGTTGGCACCCTACCTCCCACCTCCCACCTACCCCAGAAATAAAATTAACAAAGTGCAAGTGCAACAGGGAATGCTGAAATTTTGTAATATCAGCAGAAAGGGAAAATTGGAGAAACAAGAATTTTAAAAGGCTGTACAATTTTTAGCTGAGTTCATTTCTACCTATTCAAAACATTCCATCTGTTTCAGCTTCTCTTGCAGCTAGATATGCTCAGATGCCTATCTTCTAGCCAATAAAATCTAACTGGAAGCATTATTTGGAGCTTTGGGGAAGTCTTCTAAAAAGGGGAAAACATATCCTGCTGACTGTTCCTCCTACCTGCTGGTTGAAATGTGAGATACTGTGAGAAAGATAGAATGTAGCCAATTAGAAGGAGCCTAGGGTTTGGATCAGCATCATGCCAGCCCTAGGTGTCTTCTCTAGGTGTATTGCTGCTTTTGTGAAAGAAAAGGATTCTGATTTGGTTGGAAAAAAAACCCTAAGAACAGATACAGCTGGTCTAACCTCTCATCCGACATGCTGTCTTCCCTGGCTCCATCCATTCGTCTCAGATCCAGGCTCCATTTGTTGCCAGTGTTGTGGTATACTCTAAATTAAATCCTGCATACGTTCTCATCCTTTCTTTCAGAGCCAGCCACTAAAATCACTGCGCAAGCTGTTACATCTCTCTTCAGCCTCCAATCACCCGGCTTCCTCAGACCCCCGCTTCCAGCCCTTAACAGCTCAACAAGCCAAAAATTCTTTCTCAGAAATTCGGATTCATCCCCTGAGCCAGGCTTCTGGTGGGAGTAGCAACATCCGACAGGAGCCCACACCCAAGGGCAGGCCAACTCTCCAACTGCCGGGTCAGATGGATCCTGGTTGGCACGTGTCTGCTGTGACCAGAGGTGCCACAGAGGGACCTTCCTACTCTGAACAGCTGGGTGCCAAGAGTGGGCCAAATGGGCACCCTTACAACAGAACAAATCGCTCCCGAATGCCAAACCTGAACGATTTAAAAGAGACAGCCTTGTAATTTGTGCTGGAGTTGGGGGGGTGGGGGTGGTGAGGCCACAAGGTAGTTGAGAGGGTAGGGGTGGGGTGGGGGTGGGCTGGGGAATGAGCTGGGTGATGAGCCAGCGTTTTCAGCTTTATGAAGGCGTGTGCAATATTGTGTGTGGGGGGCCGTCTGGCTCCTCACGGTCGCAAATGCTAGTCAGGGATCTAAGAGCCACGGGAGTTGCTGAAGAAGCACCGCTCCCCACAGGTCTTGTGTGAGAATGGATCGAGTGTGCCATTGAGGAAGCAGAAGTTTCTGCCAGTGGCTCCCCCTTGTCCCCGCTGTCGTGCAATCTCTGTGGAAGTTGGGGAAGCCAGGATGCGTCCTGGCGCTGCAAAGGGAAAAAAAGTGTTGACCGATGCCCTTACCACCTATTTTTTTTCTGCCTAGACTAAGTGTGGGGTTTATTGTTATCCAAGAATATCCCTTTGAAGGGTTAGCAGATAAACTGTATGTCTTAAATTGTTTTCTAAACTTCCATATTTGATAGGATTTATAACATTTATTTATAATTAATATTGTACTGTTATAATCATACCTTTTCTGTTATAATGTAAAGTTATTTTGAGCTGTTTGAAACATTGTGAAGCAGTGGGACAGCTACAGTAGTTTCTATCAAAACTAAACAATAACATTTATATATTGCATCAGGAGTATTTTATTCTATATATGAATATATAGTAAATGTCTGTTTTATAAATATATTCCTTTAAAGAAAAGTATCGTTACGACACTATCTGCCATATTTTTATACATTTGTGATATGAAGTGAGTATTATACTTCTAATAAAGGGAGTCGATCTGTGGCTACATGTGACTAACAAGATGAACCTTGCCCAGCTTTTAGGCCCCAGCAGTAGCCTTTAGACATGGTCCCTGGTAGCAGATGAAATGCAGCGTCTCTTTCCACGTCTGCAGGGGAAGACAGCCGGATAGGCCAGTGAGAATTCCATCAGGCCTCATGTCCGACCTCACACATTTGGCTCGTGTTTGTGTCCAGGGATGTCATTGCTTATACATGACAATAGACTGAAGCTTTATTTGTGGGTCTTTGTAGAGAACGTTCTTTTCCACTTAGCAGTAGTCAAGAGTGCAGACCAAAGATTTGCCAGTGAACAGTCTTTGTTGTGAGGTTGTACAAGGTACCTGTTACAGATCTTACAAACCAGCTCTGTGCTCCTGAGTCTGGTCCACTGGCCTGGAGACATTTGGCTGGTAGGGTATGTGGCATTTCTGCTCCAAACTGCTTTATTTGTTATTGCTGTTTCCAGTGTATTTAAAAGGCTCCTGAAGCAATTCCAAATGTGAAAGAAAATCACTATATCCATTTCTTCCTCCTGGAAATGTCCATTTATAGCAAGGTCTTCACACGTACCTACATACTTGCCCCTTTCTCCCTCTCCTCCTCTCTCATTGAACAGGACCTGTCTTTCACCCATCCAATCTGTCTCAATTCCCAAGCTGCTCCGATTCTGATGCGGCCTGTGGCCCACGGGTGACGCAGCCCTGGGTTTCTGGGCCTCCTTGACAACAGTCATCTCCACACTATCACCTGTCATTAGTAGTGGATTTTTAGAATTAGTCTCTTAGCAATAAGACTTTTAAAGTTCCCTCCCACCCCTCATAGAGGTAACTTGTCAGTATTTATTACTTGTTCCAGAATTCTGAGTATCAGTCCCTGAATCAAAAGTCAGCTGTAACTTAAATGTGCTGACTTACTGTTAACTCTTCCCAAAACTTCAAGAAACATAGCTCTGCTGATTAAGATTATAAGGAAAAAGGTCTTAATTTCTTCGAAGCTTAAATTGTGTGCATATTGCATTTTTATATAAATACTATACTGATGTGTATTGATTATATAGAGAGGCCATTTTAAGGTGCTTTTATTTAATTTTAATAAGTGAAATAGAACTAAACCTCAACTGGGTACTATTGAAGCAATTTGATTCAAATCAATAGTTCTGCATGCTATTTAGCTCTTTTCTATCTTGTTTCTTTCGCCAGTTCAGTACTGTTTGGGTAGCTCTGGATTCTGGCTTTTCCCAGGCAGCTGCTAGGTTATAGAAGTGAGGCGGACCCTCGGCAGTTTTGGCCTGGATGCTGATGATTCTGAGAAGGTGTATATTTTTGTTCTTTTTCGTACTAGATCTCTACCTTGTATTCCCTCCTTGCAAACCAGAAAATACAATTTTGTCTCTGGAAAGACTTCTCACTGTGCTATGTGCTTAGGAACTGCACAGTCCCATTGCCACATTGTGGCAATTGAGGCTCATTGTCACCTAGGGGCTGGTTTCCCATGTTGTCATCCTTGCTAACACTGGGATCTCAGATATTTGCAGAACATTTATATTCGTGATGGTTCTTCAAAGAAGGGCTAAAATAATTGCCTTCTACCTAGAACAAAGTCAACCTGATGAGTCCGTACATACTTTTCACACATTCCCAGATTTGAGCCAGAAATTATCTATAATGTTTGCAACTAGTGTTTTTGAGATAGCTGTTTATCCTCTTCTCAGCTTTTGTCCTTTCTGACTTATTGATTCTCAGCAAGCTGTATGTGAACTACAATCTGCATTTATAGCATGTAAGTCTCTTCCTGCTTGCAGAAGGCTCGATCAAGCTCTGTCTCAGATCTGGTGGGCCCTCTCTCAGCTTTTTAACTGTTTCCCCGTCTGGTTGATGAAGAATTGCTGACCTCACTGAGATCACCACCATGGTAGGGAAGACTTGAATCATAGTACAAAAATGCACATTTACTTTAGGAAGGGGGATTTATGACATCCATTTGCTATTGTGCATCGTCACTTCTTCCCAAAGGTTGAAAAAGTTGAAGGAAGGATGAGGAATTACTTTATTTCATGGCAGCATCACTGATCTCCTTTTGCGAAGAAATTCTTCTTTACTGTTTTTACTTCCCTGCTGCCCTCGTTTCTCCTCTCTGGAACTTGAATTGAACCTCTCTCCAGCGCCCAAGACCAAAAGGGCGTGTTCTGTGTGAAGGCGTCCAAGGAAGCTGTCTCCACAGCAGCGGTTCTCAACCCAGGACATTCTGGCCCTTGGGGTACACTTTACAATGTCTGCCACCGTTTGGTTGTCATATCTTGAGGGTGGTGGTATGGCACTGGCATCTGGTGGGTAAAAGCCAAGGATGCTGCTAAACATCCTACAAGACACAACACATCCCCCTCCAACAAAGAGCAATGTAGCTCAGGGCTCACTGGTGCTGAGAATGAGACACCCCACGGCCCACTGTCATGACCCACCAGTCAGCAGGAACTAGGCTCCAAACCTTGTTCTTTCCAGGCTACAGGTAAGGATTCGTTCAACTTCCCATTCTCTTAGAGAATATTCTGCCACAATTCTTGACTCCTTAGAATCCATCCTATCGTTTGTTTCCATTGTCTTGGGCCTGCTAAAAGGTACATAGTTTGGGAGGAGACCAGAGTGACTTTATAGATGTTTAAGAATTTAAATTCTAGGTAGGCATCCTTAGAAAAGCTCTCATCGATCTCTGAGGCTTATATTTAGAAGCAAGCAACAGCCTGGCAGATTGGCTTAATTTTTACCAACTGCTCTAAGGCAACCATGGCTTTTAGCTGTGTCTCTCAAAGGAAAATATCTTTTTTAAAAATCCAATTCATTTAATAATTCTTTACAAATATTAGCATATGGCAGACTGATTAGAAGCAAAAAAAAAAAAACCACTTTATTGCTGGTTGTGATGTGGCTGTTGTAGAAGTATTTGTGCTGTATGCTTTGGTTAAATCTGTTTTAGAACCTGCTTTAAGGTATCACCATATACACCTGTGCTTTAATTCTAACCTCAGAGCTACAATGGTCAGTCTGTAGTCATGCTGTGTATTATAAAATATGTTGTGATTGTAGAGTCAGCCATTTTAGCATGTTCCTAATCTGAAAATTAGTGGACTACACTCGGAAATGCTAGCCCATTTTCCCTTCCCCCAGCACCTGTTAGTTGATATCATAGGATCCCCACTTCTTAACTAGTTTTTAGAGTAAATAAGGGGAAAAAAGCCATTTATTTTATTCTAGCCATGTATTGAGAATGACTCATAAGTGTGCAACTTATTTGTAAAGGCCAGAGGCTTACTTGTCAGGTGTATAGATAAATGTGTCCATTTCTGTTCACCTAGCTCCTGGTGGGGACCAGTCTCTTTCAGCAAGGGCCAAAGCTCCTTGGCATTTGTTGCCAGAGCTCAGTAAATCTGCATTGTCTCCCCTGGACACAGCATGTTTCCAGAGAGCATTGCTTTTAAGTGTAGAAGTTCATTGCTTCCTGAATGATAGAGGTCTTAAGATCCACAGCAACATGGTGTGATAGACATGGCCCACATCAGAAAATAGCGAAAAGATCCTTGCCTCCTCCAGTTCGTCGCTAATGAAGTGTGTAGGCAGAGCAAGCTTGTTTATGGTTTCAAAAGAATCCGGCTGTCTTGGAAGGGGCTGCAGAAGAAACAGTACAGCTGTTAGGCAGCAGCCTGTCACTAGTGCCCATAGGCAGACTGCCACAAGAAGGCCCTCCCAGAGACTCCAGTGGTCAGATTAGCAGAAAGAAGAAACAATTCCTTGTGAATGCTTGTGATTTCTGCCTTTGGCTTCTTGACCATGTGAGACACAGAACAGGTCTGGCTTGGGGCATGCAAAAATTATGTCTTGGAAGCTGTAAAAAACTACGGGAGAAAGTTAAGTCCCTCAATGTGTGGTTGCCCCTAAGTAAAGGGGCTAGGAAACTCTCGGCCTGCTGCCCCTGTGATTTTCATTTTTTTAATTGAATGTACTATATACCAAGATGTTTACTGCGTGGGTCTACCCTTCCCATAGTGCTTTGTTAATTCATTGACATCAGGCCTTTCTGCTTGCTCTGTGGCCACTGACTCTCCTTTCTGTATATTTACTGTAGGCTCTTAAGTATACTCATCACCTGCCTTGCAGGCTCATTCACCAACAGTTTACAC